CTGTGCCATTGGTCTGTCAAGTGCCATAATGGTTACACATGGTTGACATTATCTGGTTAGCTAACAGATTAAGACAGGCTTGGAAGCAGGAGTGGCATCCACTTCCTAAACATACCTGTGGAAACTTTATAAACTTAGAGAAAGGACAACAGTTATAGAACAAAGTTAAAGTCTTGTTTATGTGGTTAGAAATAGATGGCACTTAACAACAACAATATTGCAAAGCCTTCCTCTTCCATTTTGGACTTCCAATGGCTTGATGCTGTATGAAGGCACTCTTGAGGGTCTGTGTAGATTGTTTTCTACAATTTAAGCCTTGTGTTTAGAGTCATTAAGACCTCCGGGAGGATACTAATTTGCTAAAAACAGTATTTTTTTAAAAAATTAAGTTACTTCTATGCACACCCATGTTTATCACAGCTTTGTTCACAAAAGCAAGGAGCTGGAAACAACCTAAGTGCCCATCAACAAATGAATGGATAAGAGAAGCTGTGGTATATTCACACAATGGAATACTATGCTGCATTGAAAAACAAGAACTCATGCAATATTATTCAAAATGGGTGACCCTGGAGGACATTATGCTGAGTGAAGTATTTCAGTCACAAAAGGACAAATACTGCATGGTGCCACTGTTGTAAAACAGTACTGACACTGGGGCTGGGGGGAGACTGAGAAAGATGGGTTCAATAACGTATATTGCACTGAAACAGATGAGGGAGAAAACTGTTTAAGAGGGATATGTGATTAGGTATTTTTGTCATGACAGGAGTCCAGAGTGAAGGCTGCATATTGGAGTGGACCTGAAAGGAGGGATTGTAAACTTTTCCAAGAGGGTAGTGTACTGGGGGAGGGGGGAGGGAGGGAAGAAAAGTCCAACAGTGAATGAATAGAAATCCAAAGTCTCTGTAAATTTTCATTAAAATTAATATTAAAAAAAATTTTTTTAAAAGAAGAAAATTAAGTCACTTCTAATTAAGTGAAATTAGAAGTAAGAACTAAGTCTGCTTAGAACCAGCAGTACTGTGAGGGCTGAATATTGGTATATAGTTCAGAGTCTATGCAGTGAGCTGAATAGGCCCTCCAAAAGAGAAGTCTCTTTTTAACCTTTGGAACCTATGAATGTGACATTATTTGAATGAGGCTCAGTAAGAATGTAGATATTACATTAAGGATCTTAAGAGGATTTCATTGTGGACTTCTCAAGTAGCTTCTATATCCAATGCCAAGTCTGCTTTTAAGAGAGAAGACACAGATGCAGAGGAAGAGGACATGTGAAAACAAAGGCTAAGTTAAAGTCATTGACCCAAAGCCAAGGGCCACCTGAGGCCACCAAGAGCTAACAAAAGCAAGAAAAGACTCTCCCTCAGAGACGGTGGAGGTAGCAGACCTGCTAACACTCTGATTTCACTCTGGCCTCCAGAACTGAGAGGATAAACCTCTGCTGTTTTATGCTTTCAAGGCTGTAATGATTTGTTATACCCATCCAAGGAAAGAGATAGTCTACTATAAGGAACATTCAGACAAGCTCTCAAAGAAAGGAGTGACAAAAAGAAAAATTAGTATTGACAGATTACCTGTTATGTTTAACCAGAAACATTTTAGTTCTCTTCATGAGTTTGAAAAAAAGGAAAGCGAACAATAGTATTGGAGAAGATGTGTAGAGACAGGCACTCATACACCGTCGATGGAATTGTAAAATGGTACAACCACCCTGGAAGGAAGTTTGGTGTCTCCTCAAAAAGCTGGACATAAAAATGCCATAAGATCCAGCTATTCCACTGCTATACCCCAAGAAAATCAGAACTGAGGCACAAATGGAGATTTGTACAGCAATGTTCATTGCAGCATTATTCACAATCGCAAGAACATGGAAAGAGCCCAAAAGTCCAACCACAATTGAAAAGATTGAGAAACTGTGGTACATTCACAAAATGGAACATTACACAGCACTCAGAAGCAACAATGCAGAAAATTACTACATAATTTGGGAGGGACTGAGGAGCATTATGTTGAATAACTAACCCAGTCCCATAAGGACAAAAAGTGCATAAGATCATTATTGGAGAAATAGAATAAAACGTGTCTGAGGACGCAAGAAAGGGGGAAGGTGGGAGCATGGATGGGGGAAATCATAGGGTTGCACAATTTGGTAAGTGGAGGAAGGAGGGAGTAAAGTAAATGGGAAAGATCCAGTGAGGATCTGGAAAGACAGGGTAACGGTGGCCATAGTTTAATGGTGATCAATTTTACAAGACATAATGAATGCGAATGATTGTATGAAACACAATGTAAATGAAGGATAGTATGAAACAGTGTATATGAACTTTGTAAGCAAACCAATATTAAATAAAAATTAAAAAACAAAGAGTTTGAAAAGAAATCATGGTGTACGCGTATACAGAAACTATAGTTAATTAGACAATCAGGTTAGTATTCATGGTAAAAAAAGTCTTCCTCTCCTTCAATGACTCTCTATTTAACCAAATATGTTCTCTTTCTCCAGGGACTGGAAAAACAAAGTTGTTAGGTGCCATCGACTAGGCTCCAACCCCTAGTGACCGCATGTTTAACAGATCAATACATGGCCCAACCCTGCATCCTGCTCTCAATCTCTGCAGTGCTGAAGCTCACTGCTGTAGCTACCGTGCCAAACCAACTCGTGGAGGGTTGTCTTCTCCTTCTGTGACACTATTTTACCAAGTACAATTAAGGGATTTTTATCCTTTACCCAAGAACTGGCACCTCCTCATAACATGTCCAAAATATCTTAGACAAAGTCTACCATCCTTGTTTCTGAGAGGCATTCTGGCTTCAAAGTCCACAATCAAAGTTACTGCCATGAAGCTGGAACCAACTGATAGCTAATCTTCCATTCGGTTTTCAGAGGATGTAAATCACGTGGAAGGAGACTATCTTTCTCCTATGAAGCAGCCAGTGGATTCAACATCCTTTCTTTGGGTTGTATTGGATTTCCTTAAGCACATGTCCATATGGGACTCAAAGGAGTCCCTGGTAGTGCAGTAGGCTATGTGTTGTGTTGCTAAATAAAAGGTTAGCAGTTCAAACCTAATAGCCATCTAGGAGAAGATGATGAGGTAGTCTCCTCTTATTAAAGTTCAGTCTCAGAAACCTGATGAAGGCCCTCCATAAGCTGGATTTGACCTGATGGCAGCAGTTTTTTGGTTTAGTTATTCATAGTATATAACATGGTCTAATGTGAAAGGCATAAATATATTAACAATAACAGACTGAACCAAAATTTATGCCATCATCATTTTGGGAGGATGGTAGGGGAGTGTGACTATGTGAGTAAAAGGGAAGTAAGAGCTAAATCTTAACTTTTTTCACTAGAAGTCAGGATAAATATAAAGATAAATATCAACACTCTTGGCACCAGCAGCCAGGAAATTAGAGGAGGTATTGTGATGGGAAAGTCTCTGCTGTTAGGGACTCTCTAAAGTACTGAAGAGCAATGGTGTCTCTCTGGAGACTAAGGTGCGTCTGATACAGGCCATGGTCTTTGCAATCACTTGTTATGCATCAGGGAGTTGGACAATGACTAAGGAGGACAGAAGGAGAATTGATGCCTTTGAGCTGTGGTGTTGGAGAAGAGTATTGAGGATACCATGGACTGCTAGGAAAACAAACAGATTCAATCTTGAGAGGGTTAAACCGGGCTGCTCCTTGGAGGCAAAGATTCTGAGGCTTCGTCTGACATACTTTGATCATGTTGTAAGGAAAGACTGGTCCTTGGAGAAGGACGTCATGCTTGGGAGGGTGGAGGGACGGTGCAGGAGGGGAAGGCCCTCTAGGAGGTGGATTGATTCGGTGACTGGGGTAATCGGGATGGGTATGTTGGAGACAATGAGATTGGCACAGGGCAGAGCAGAGTTTAGGGCTGTTGTACATAGGGTCACTATGAGTCGCAAGCGACCCGACGGCGCTTAACAACAACAACAACAACAACAAATATCAGTAGAAACCACAGTTCAAAGTTAGTTGCCTTTTGGGAGTGAGAATTGGATTAGGAGTTGGGGAAGGTTTTCGATCAGTCATGTAATAAAAAATTCAAAGTACATATTATTATTTTGATAAAAACTAATTCAATGATGAGTCCACATATGGAAAAAGCCAAGGTTCGAGTTAGGATCCTGACTCCAATCCCCGTTCTGCTACTTACTCATGAACTTAGTGAGGGAAAGATAGGCAATCTCCACTTTTGTGATTTAGAGCCTCTGTTAACCAGCTGGAGGGTCAGTTATGAGTTGGTTCCGACTCAATGGTGCATAACGGCCACCACCACCACCACCACCACCACCTTAACTAACTCAGGCAGTTAGTTAATCCACCAAGTTGTAGCATCTTCACCTATCGAATGTGAGCAAAACCACCTTCCTCTTAAGGTTGTTATGAGAATGCAAAAGTCATTTACAGAGTATTAACTAACACTGTGTTCTTTTCCTCTCATTTCCTTTTCAATTTTTACCCCTTAAAGCTCAGCAGGACTCATGGTGAATTAAGACATCTACTTCAACCATGTTTCATGAAATAGTTATCAGCCTCTCTCATTGCTCTCAAGCCAGAAGTAACACATAGCTAATGCTCCAGAAGGTTTTCCAAGGCTATAAATTTCAAGGGAGCAGACTGCCCATGTTTCTCCTTGGAGGATTCGAACAGCCAGAGAAGCTCAGTCTTTGGGTTAGCAGCAAAACTCCATATGGACTATGCTACCAGAGCTCCCTACTGTTAACTCAGTTATATATATTTTTCACACTGATCTCCAATTCTCAAACTCATACAAAGACTCTGTAGTCTTTACTAACTAAATTCAGTGTCATCCCACAGTTTTCTATCATTTTCACATATGACAGTTACCTCCTCTTCACCAGAGGACAGTCTTCCATGTCTTCTTACTGTCCCTTCACTCCTAACCACAGCTAGATAAAATAAGAAAACTGCTGAAGGATACACACTTTCCCCAGGGGCATTATACTTACTGTCTTATAACTGTGTCCAGCCAAGAAGAATTTGCTTCAGGAACTTTTAAACACGCCAAAGCAGAAGCTTTTATGATGAAATCATTGACTGATATTTTGCCACCACTCTTTTCTATCACCTGCAAAGACAAGAAACCATTATAGTTTCTTAATTTATTGCCACAAAAATGGAAACTTTGAGGGAAGACAGGAGAATTTCCATACAGGCCTCTGTGCAAGGAGCAAAAGGCAGAAGTACATGTGAGTGTCAATCACTCTTTCTACAGCAGAATGAGCAAGGGTGAAAGCAGGAGAGATCAGTGGGGCTGCAGAGGAGCGACCATGCAAAGCTTTGCCAGCCACTGTAATAACCATTGCTTTTCTTTTTCATTTCTTTGAAAAGATTTTCTTATCACTTTCTCTTACTTTAGTCATAATGCTGTCTGCTAGTTCAGACCCTGATCACGGCCACTTCATACCGAAGTACAATGACAAATACAACTAACTTCTACCACCAATCTATCTATCAGACTTATCTTTCTTAAAATACTGGTATCATCACATCACTTTACTGAACAAAAACCCAAGATGATTTCTTAAAACAGATAAATTCATCAAGTTCAAATTCTTCTGTGTGTACACCAAGGTCTTCTGTAAAGTGACTTAGTGCATATCCATTCTAGGAAAAGTAACCTTCTATATGCTAAGGACTACCAAAAGAAGAACGAAGTCTGTCTTGGAGGAAGTGCAATCAGGGTGCTCCACAGAGGCTAGGATTGAAAAACTCTGTCTCCTACACTATGGGAATGTTACCAGGTAGGGCCAGTCCTTGGAAAAGATATGCTGGGAAAGGAAGAGGGTCGGAAGAAGAGAGGAAGATCTTCCATAAGATGGACTGACCCAGAAACTGTTAACAATGGGCTACAGCGTATCAGGGGTGGTGGGGACGGTGCAGGATAGGAAAAAGTTCAGAAATGCTGTTCAGAGGGTGGGTAGGAGTTATAGTTGACTTGACAGTATCGAACAACAAACTTCTGCTTCTGTTCATTTCATCTCACTTTTAAGCACTTCTTAAAAACTTGTTGCTGTTGTTATGTGCCATCGAGTCACTTGCAACTCATAGTGACCCTATGTACTCTATGAACTCTGCTCTATCCTGAGCCAAGCTCATCATCTGACACATCCACCAGTCACTTGAGTCAATCCATCCCGTTCAGGGTCTTCCTCTCTTGCACTGTCTCTCCACCCTCCCAAGCATAATATCTTTCTCCAAGGACTGGTCCCTCCTTGCAACATGCCAGATGGAGCTTCAGAATCCTTGCTTCCCAAAAGCAGCCTGGTTTCACCCTCTTCAGGACGAACCTGTTTGTTCTCCTAGCTGTCCACAGTATATTCAATACTCTTCTCCAGCACCACAGCTCAAAGGAATCAATTCTCCTTTGACTCCTGGTTAGTTCCTCTTCATTCATACTCATGGCAAATCTATGTGTTTTGGAGAGCTTCATTCTCTAGAATTCTCCATACTCTGGCTGTGATCTCTTGGAAGCAGACCACTAGGCCTTTCTTCTGAGGAGCTTCTGGTGCGGCTCCAGTTCATTGGTCAGCAGCCCAGCACTTAACCATCTGCACCACTCAAGTAGTCCTTATGTACTTTTTACCATTATGATATTCCCCAGACTCTCTATGAATTCTGAGTTCTCCTCCTCTAAATTCCTGTAACACTCAACATCAAGTAATGTGATTTAGCAGAAAATCAAGGGACAATGCCATTTGAAAACAAAGTTACAAATAACATTTATCCTTTCAGAAAAGTTGGTGGCTCTCTCTTTTTATTATGTTAGCTTGCAAATCAGACCACAGCCTCATGGAGAAGACCACACCTGATGCTGAGGTCTCCAAAGTATCTTCAACACTGTGTAGGTTCTTGATATTTAACTATAGAAACAAGGCGCACACACATTTCTTAGGGGCCAATTCACTCTCTCACTGTTGCCAAGCTGGAACCAATTCATAGGCGACCCTCCAGTGGGTTCTTGGGAGGCTGTAAAATGCACTGGAGGAAGAGACTGTTCATCTTCCTTCCTTAGAGTCACAAGTGGATTTTTTTTCTGGCGGGGGTGGGTGGGGGGGGGAGGTATTACTAAATAGGATCCGAATGGCACAGGAGGAGACTGCTCCTCCTTCTCCAGTGGAGCATCTGGTGGATTCGAACCACATGCCTTCAGGACTGCAGTGCAGCTTCTTGCCACTAGGACACCAGAGAGAGCTCCCTCATAGGTGGATTTAATCTGCCGGAGAGGCACTAACTTTGATTCGCCAGCATAATTCCCTCTGGACGACGCCATGAGAGGTCCTTTAGAGACTCGGTGTTTGTATCATGGTGACTCTGCACTAAATTAAAATTTATCCACAGCAAAGATAACTTAAGTAAATTTTAATTGAAATTAGCAAATGAAAATTCTTCAGAATGTTCTACATAATTGGCATATTGAAACAAATTCTACTAGTAAGATATAAATACCGAGGTGAAAAACACAAACTTCTACCTATTTAATATGGTTGGAAATTATAGACCTTTTACCTTATTAAGTTCTTTCCGTACTGACAAAACTTCTCCCATATTTACATCAATAGAAAGGTAGTAATGAGGTATGGTTTGCTTAGACTGCATTAACCGCTGTGCAATAACCTGAAACCAAAGAGATTAAAAAATTGGTTATGGACTTAACTTTAGGCTTTACAAAATTGAAGGATTTATCATGCACGCTTCACTTCACTAATGATTACCTAAGTATTATTATAGCTGGAATATTTCATCGTAGCTTAGAGGTATCTGGTATTATTTAACCAGACACACTTATTTATCCTAAATATTCAATGACCAAACTCATCATCCCTTAAACACAGCTTCAAAATCCACAACTGCTTAAGAAGCTTCTCAGTGCTTTTAAATCAATCAGTCAATTAATCAATCAATCAATGTAAAAGTACCCCCAACAGTTATGGTTTCAGATGATGGTAACACACTCTTACCCGGCGAATGTTGCTGATTGGGATGTCTGTGAAGACACCTGTAGGAACTGGTGCCACTCCAGGAGCTGGAGGAGACACAGCAGCTGCAGGGGCCTATGGGAGAGGGAGAGAAGAATACTCTTAGTGACTGCGGAATAATCTTACCTTGGGCACTGAGGGAAGACTGACAATGACTCTTACAGCCAACCAAAGACTTTACAGAACAGCAGTTTTTTCTATCTCTAAGATGCAAAGGAGACTTATTTTAATAGGAGTTTTTTGGGGTTTGTTTTTTTTTTAAACTTAGGATTCTGAAAACAAAGACTAGTTTGTTGCAAAGTAATTTTGTTTTTGCAAAATTATTTTCAAGAAAAGCAATAAAAGTATTTTTGAAGGAACTAATAGAGAAATATACAGGAGATTCTGAACTGTGTTGACATTAAAATGACAAAATATTTCATATTAAAAAATAAACATCTAGAAAAAATCATTTTCCTTACTTTTAGTGAATTGTCTTTACAGAAATCAGTCATACAGATTTAATCCACTTGCAGACACACACCTTAAATACCAATAAGTCAACCTGCAAACATGCTTTTGAAAATGTAAGTCAAATAAGGATGAGAACTATTAGTAAATATTCAATATAGCAACTGAAAAACAAATTTGTAATGCATATTCAATGTAGTAATATTCCTATCATCTTTGATTGTGCATAAAAGTGATGTCCCATAAATTATCCAGGTCCATTTAGGCTTCTCCAGAAGTTAAGTGCAAATGCTGTAAAAATGCACCCAAAACATGGGAATATCTAAAGATGATGAGCATTACAGGGTTTTACTTAGATGTGCAACATTTGAGCTTAACACACTAATGAGAGGGGGAAATATTCCCTCACAGTTCAAATTTGTAAGGGCCTTGGATCAATTATACTTCCAACCCACTGAAAGAAGATAAAAAGACACCACATTCTGGTCAATTACAAGAAAAAACATAGGAAACCATCTAATTTGATAGACTTTCTAAGGAAGAAACAAAAAACCTTCAAATGCAACTCACAGGAGCAGCTTTGGTAGGCACAAAAGAGTCAATGTCTTTTTTGATGATTCTGCCATCTGGTCCGGTTCCTATAAGAAAAGACAAATCATGGGAATTGAGTGCATTATCCACTTAAAAGGCTCAACAACATCCTCCCCTAAGGGATCTCTGTCAGACACACTTGGAAGGTACCACCACCTTCAATCCTGTCCCCTAAAGCTTGCCTTCATTCATTTCTTACTCATACAAAGTACTTGCTTAATCTCTCATAGTTTAAAGCAAATGAGACTTTTTCTCCGTTTGTCTTTCAAAGATTTCTCTAATAAAACTACTTGATTCCCCTCCCCCTTATCTTGTTTACTCTTAAAGTGAGAAATACCCTAAGGATAATGCAGTTTAGTATAGTTTACACTTTCAAAAGGAAGATGAGCTACCCCTTCTGGTTAGCTCCAAAATACCCTTTTGGAATTCTGAACTAGACCTCCTTTAGGATTCATTTGGCCATAAAGAAATCCCTTTGTAGAGAATTAATGGGTATGATAACAAATGTTTTGGACAAACTGTGCATGTTCTTTGGATTTTTTTCTCAAGAGGACCAAAATCGTTTTGGGTGCTGGTCTCAAGAGGACAATTAAGCCGTAGATACAACTTTTGCCTGCAGTTACCTTATTTTTAGAGCACTCTATCTTTATTTGTGTGTTCTCTATCCCATTCTATTTCTGACAGAAGCCTACTCTAAACTAGCTTGTGTTAAGGACAATGAAGGAACAAAGGCCTAATGTCCTACATGAAGAAGGATCTTGAAAGTTCTCTTAGCATGCTTAAATTAATTGATTCCATTTTCTTCCCTCCTCCCATCCCAACCACTTAGGATTAATTTTAGACCCAACTACATAATCCTGAACCTTAATTCTAAGAAGATCCAGAATTAAGTTATTAGAATACCTTTTACACTGGCCCACTTCTAGAATAAAATTGGCCAAATTGATTCATCTTCCCCCAAGGCAGACTTTTAAAAGGATTCTCGTGGTGTGCAGTTCTTCCCAACTCCTGTCCTTCATTATGAAAACTGAGGAGCTGGCTAGGATTGTTTTATCCTCACCAGGAGCTCTAGAACAGAGGTGGCAGCATTCCCCTGTTAGATACCCCTCCTTTTAAAAGACAGAAACCATAACCTCCCCTTACAACCACGGTGGGCCTGGCCACCACAGCCCCTCAGAGGAAGAAGCAAGCTTAGCCACCCACAAGAATTTCCTGAGGGCTGGGAGTTATACCTTTGGGCCTAGTTTTCAAAGGAGGTATAACAGGCCACTGCACTCAACTAGGAGTAAGAAACGGTAGGATATTTAAAAAAAAAAAAAACAAAAAAAAACAACTAACACACGACCACCAAAAACAAACAAGAAACAAACCCATTGCTATCAAGTCGGTTCTGACTCTTAGCAACCCTACACGACAGAGGAGAACTGCCTTACAGGGCTTCCAAGGGTATTAATCCTTACAGGAGCAGACCGCCTTATCCATCTCCTGCAAACTAGCTAACTTCAAACTGCTAACTTTTCATCATCAGTTCTCCATTTAATTCACTGCATCACCAAGGCTCCTCAAATATAAACTAGACAGATGACCTCAGTCAAACCTCATTGGGTCTTCTATAGGATGAAGATTATAGCTGTATCAGCCTCTGCTCACAAGAGAGCTGTGAGAATAAAATGACAGTGATGTGAAAGTACTTTAAGAACATGATTTCCCCCAAATTTACTAAATAATCTGACTCTGTAACATTCTCCTTATTATCATCTCCTATGGCTTTAAATTTCACACTTCAAGTTCCTCCTTGCTCCCCATAGCCACTTTTCAGTCATGTCCTTCCTTTCTCCTTTCAAAAACCTCAACTCCCTCAGAAATTCCCAACGTAACCTACTTCCTTCCCTCTTTTGTTATCTTCCATCTACTAAATCATAATTACTTATCTTTCTTAAGATTAATTTGGAACATGGACCAAAGTCCACTTAGCTTCCAAATTCTTTTGGTTTTCTTTATCTTCAACTTTTCCTTTCAGCCTAAATAAACCCCTTCAGCCTCCAGGGTAGAATTTTAGACAATGTTCTAACTACACCTCTCTGAAGTTAGCTCTTTAGTCTAGACTGTCCTCTCCACTCTGCAACCTGATCAAGACCACCGCTCCACCAACCACCCCCTCTACTCTCAACTATTCTCTCCCTCTTGTCTTCACTCCGTACTCAATTTCCACTTCATAGATGACCATTATAATCGCTCCCATACAAAATTAGAAAGCTTTGACTTTCTATGCCAACACTACTGTAGCTCAATGTTGCTGCAGTAAAAAAAAGGCATCCCTGAACTTAATGACTATACCATAAATTCAGTTCTAAGCCTAAAATGAACGCACAAAACTGCCCCTGAAATACAATTCTATTTCACTTTTCATTCTTATTACTTTGTAACTTCTCTAGTCTCACACTCACTCATCCTCAGCTGATACTCTCAATTCATGCTTGACTGATCAAAAAGAGGCAAAAGAATAAGTCTCCTACCACCAAAGAATAACTCTTCTACCACCAAATCTATAAATCCATCCCATGTTCTTTTCCCCTTTCTTAAATGCATAGGGTGCCCCTAACTCCTGGCCCATACAAAGAACTATTTGGCCCAAAATGTCAACAGTGGAAGAGCTGAGAAACTGTACTTGCCTCATTCAACTATCTCTCATCTTAAAAGGCCTCTATAAACATGCATTTTCCAAGGTTTACCTCTATTTCTATACTTCTCTTTATATCATCTTGATTGAACGGTCCATAATACTATCTCTACTTCTTCATCCACTTTTCAATCTTTAACCTATCTAGACAGACTTCCTATCACTTTTCTTCTGAAATTACTGCCATCAAGTACCCACATCCAATACTTAGCTATGTGCTGCTCGTTCTCTAAAATGCATCTCTCCATTTCTATTTCCACTTTCACCATCCTAAATTATCATCAGCAGCTCTGACAATAGCACCTTAAAGAGTAACCCATCTCCACAAAGTAGGCAAAATCATCTCTTAAAAAAAGGAAAACATTTTGTCACCTCTTGCTTAAATCCTTCAACAGCTCCCAACAAAATATGAAATAAAATTAAGATAATTCATCATTACTTTCCAAGGTCCTTTACATTTTCACCTTTATTTCTATCCAACTTCATCTCCCACCATTACCTTCTCAGTTCACGTGCCTCCTCATGTGCTCAAACATGCCAGGTTCTTCCTCCCCTGAGTCTGTGCTGCTGCTGCTCTCTCTGCCCAAATACTCTTTCCCTTGTTCTTCACATGGCTCACAGTGCATTCATTCTTCATCAGGTCAGATCAAATATCATCACATCAAAAAGGGCGTCCCCAACCACCCGATCTAAGAGCAATCACGACTGCACATTTATCCACCTGCCACTCACTAGGAGGTGCTGGTGGCATATTCCATAGGGAGTTGCACTGTTAACCCAAAAATGGTCCGTCTCTCTCTGTGGAGGTTTGAATCCACAAGCAGCTTCGTAAGAGAAAGATACCCAATCTCCTCCTGGGTGATTGCAGAGGGTCAGCTGTGAGTCAGTTTGACTGAGCAGCAAGTTCTTAAGAATCACTCACTAGTATATTAACAGTCTTTCTCTTATCTGGCATTTAAATGATGATTTAAAATCTAAGTTATTATCATTATAGCTAATATGTGCATATGCATTTTCCAGACACTATTTATCTATAAACATTTAATTTTCACAAATTTTTGAGGTATTATTTTTTACATGCACACAAATAAACTCAGGGGGAAAAAAATTTAAGATGATTGCCCAAGCTGGCATATGACAAAGCTGGGATTTGAACCCAGCCATTCCAGCTCCAGAGCACTGGTTATAGAAGCAACTCAACAAGTAAAATCTTGTATTTCATTCGTCTTATGGACAAGTGTCTGATGCACAGACAGTAGTCAATATTTGTTGAAATAAGTCACTGAGCTCTGCCTGTATGACAAAAATAATGGGATTTTCCTACTGTATCTTTAGCAAAACAGCCAATTTTGTTAAAACATCTAATAAACAATCCTCCCTTACTTGTCTAAATTCTTGATCTATAATAGGTAACCAAATCTTTCTCTTCATTTAATCCTCACACTACATAATAAATGACATTACTGAAAGAGGATTACAATGGAAGAGCATGTCTTCTAGTATTTTAAGTAATCCTCCGGGATCTGGAAGAATCCACGGCATTTATAGCTGTATCTTGGGACTGGTTTGCCTTCCAACCAGAAAACAGACTGCAAACTGATGCTCAGCAGCACTGAGAGTACATAAGTGAACAATTACAACAATAATCAGACATTCCTTTAGTAATTGAGGATGGCACTGCAGCAATTCAGAAGGCAATGTAGGGCAATGTGTAACGGCGTTACAATCTAGAGTTAAGCTGATCTAGATCCAAATCTCAACGTTAGAGAAAGGCAGAATCTCTCTAAAAGTTTTAGTGTTTTGTGGAATTTTTTAAAGTATTAGTTTTAATATCTAAAAATTGTGGATGACAACTTTACCTCCAAGTTGTAGTATTAAATGCTAAGCTAAATGCCTAGCACACAAGTCATTAAAAGAAGTTTCAAGAATTTACTCATTTCAAAAAGAAGCATCTTAACTACCTTACATTAAACTGTGGCTTTAGTTAAAAAAACATTTAAATGTAATCACATGAAAATGAGTTAAGCACTGGGTCATTAATGGAAAGGTCAGCAGTTTGCCTGGACTGTACTACATGAAAAAGGCAATCTGCTCCCGCAGAGATTTACCACCCTGAAAGCCCCAGGGGGCAGTTCTGATGGGTCCTGTAGTCACTGAGTCAGAATTGATGGCAGAGTTTGTTTTTGCTTTCTTTATGAGCTCCTGGTCTAAGTATTTTCCCTGTTTTATTTCATTTATTCCACACAATACTGTATCACATAAAGCAAGTATTAACACTTTTTACACATGGGAAGACAGGTTAAGTCACGGTCTCATTCTAAACCTTAAGCTCCTATGACTAAGCTAAACTTACTCTTTGGAAAAGAAAGACGAATAAAATATCTTCCCCAGCCCTCCGGGAGCATTAGTTCAGTTTGACATGAATGTAATTCTTTTAAGTCACTTCAAATTAATCCAACGTCATGTTTTGTTTTGTTTTGTTTCTGGCTTATTACTTAAGTCAGTCAACCAAACATATAAAATGTCTTCTTACATAATCAAGTTCTATAGACCTGCCTGATACCTTCAGTCATCACCAACAACTAAGCACACTTCCATATGAATAGAGCTGAGGGAAAAGAAGGTATCAATACAGTACAGACAAACCCCAGACAGATTAAAAAAGAAGAAAAGTTTCCCTATTCTGTAATGGTAGCAAAGAAGATATTTCCCATCCTTACAATTCTCCCCACTATGCCATTACATGTAAAACTATACCTGCTAGGCTGAAATCTAACTACATTTTAACATAACAATCCCATTCCACAGAAAGAGACTTACCTTTTACTTGTGTAAGGTCAATCCCTTTTTCCGCTGCCAATTTTTTTGCAAGAGGGCTAACAAATACCCTTCCCTTTGGTCCAGCAGGAGCGGCTGCGCGAGCAGCTGATGGTGCAGGAGTTATAGGCTGGGGAGTTGGAGGAACAGGGGCCACCTTTTAACAAAAGTTACAAATGGTTAACTCACCACTGTAAAGATCAGTTTGGATAACTGATAGTTTTACATTTAAAAGAAGTCAAAAGCTGTATCAATTAAGTAATCTTTTTTCCCCAAAGATAGTTTTGTTTTTTGCTTAACTAATATATCACAACAATATGAAAAGAAAGAAAAAAAAACACCCCAGAAAAAAGTCAGGTTATCTTATTCAATGATTAATACAGAAGTATACAATTTAAAAAAAAAAGAAAGAAAAAGAAATATACAATTTAACAGCACTGATAAGTGTATTTATCTTTTTTACAGCCTTACTTTAGAAGCCTTCCTTCTAAATTGTTCTTCTTTCACAGTACCAACAAGTTTCTGTTGATGTTGTTTGCGTGTTTTACTTAATTTCAAAATTCAAAATTATGTTGGGCCTTTTTATATTGAAAAGAATACTTCTGCTAGCAAGCAATCTAAGTGTATTTGTGTTGGTAGGTACCATCAAGTTGACTACAACTCACGAGACCTATGAACCTTGCCCTATCCTGCACCATCCTCAACCTGCTATATGGTAGTCACAGTGTCAATCCATCTCAAAGAGGGTCTTCCTCTTTCGCTGACTCTCTTCCTTTCTCAGCGTGATCTCTCTCTCCAAGGACTAGTTCCTCCTCCTAAAAATAAGCCTAAAGTGAGTGAAGCAAAATTCCATCACCCTTGCCTCTAAGGAGCACTCTAGTTGCACTTCTTTCAAGACAGATTTGTCTGCTCTAAATACAGCAGTCAGAAAGCAAGTTTCAGGGAGCCCTGGTCGCCTAGTGGCAAGAAACTGCACTGCAATCTCAGAGGTGCGCAGTTCAAATCCACCAGATCGTCTGCTGGAGGAGGGGCAATCTCCTCCTGTACCAGTCAGATCTGATTTGATGGTACACACACAGAGAGATTTAAAAAAAAAAGCCAGTTTCTCTGAAGTACCAAGGCTAAACTTCCATGACTCTCTCTCTCCTGCAGAAGCCTCATTTTAATGTGTTATTTGTTGACAGTCCATGGAATCTTCAGTACTTTTTCGCCCCAGGATCCCGGTCAAAGTCATACAAACTCATATTAAAAGTGAGGTAATTTAGGATAATACACTTAACTCTATGTCAACACAAGTCATGTCAAAGTTCCAGTGAATTACAAATATATACTTAACTTGGCATAATATGTAAACACCAAGATGACTGGCAGAAGTAGAGATGAGACAGTAAATATTATAGAAAATGGGGGATAACCATGAGATCTACATCTATAGCAGAAAGAGATCATGTAATGTCAATACCTGATACCTCACTGTACTTTGGTCTCAGCAAGATTCACAAAAGCAGCAGGGAACAGTTATAAGGCTCAAACCACTGACCATTAGGTGAAAAGTACAGTGCGAAAACCAACCTTAATACCATCAAGTAGGTTCTGATCATAAACAAGAGACTACTATTCTCCTACATAGCAGCTGATGGATTCACATTGCCAAGCTTGTGGTCCACAGCTCCATGCTTTACGCACTATACCAACAGGGGCTACTCTACATACTCTATTCCCAAAGGCACTCCATCAAGTCCTCTTTCTCCTGTGAAGGATGATTTGGTTGGCAGTACAACACACAGAACAATATGCCACCAGAGCTTATTTTGTATATCCTATCCAAATACCTACAAAACGAAAACATCCTCAAACTCATTGTCATCTGGTGAGAAATGACTCAGTGCTGACTCTCCAGCAGGTTTTTAGAGGCTGAAATTTCACAGGAGATTGACCATCTTTCTCTTGTTGGTGGATTTGAACCACCTGACTTTGAGTTGGTAGCTGAATTCCACTTGGCCACCATTATCTCCTTAGGGGATTTTCAAACTAAATAACACAGGAAGGAATCTGCTCATCTTTCTTCTGAGAAATAACTGCCTTTGGGTTGGGAGCCTAACTCCTTACACACGAGCTCATCAGCTCCCTCAGATTTCCATAAAAGTTAACTCTCTCTTTTTCATTGGAGCTCTAGTGGCTTAATGATAAGGAGCTGAGCTGCCAACCCAAAGGAACTCAATTCAAATCCCCTAGTTGCTCCGTGAAAGAAAGATGGGCAACCTTCCCTGTGCAATGTACTGCCTCTAAAAATCCACTGGAGAGTCAGCTGTGAGTCGGTTCTGACTCCAAAGTACAACAAGAATCTTCATTAATGGATCTTAGACTGGTAGCATACTCACAGACGGTGGTGGGCTAGGTGGTGAGGCTTGGGGTTTTAAATCAGTTACTTCAGTCGGCCTGTAGTCTGCAAATGCTGGTATGTCTGCCTCCTTTTCAACAATGATACAAAGTGGGGTTCCCAAAGGGACATCTCTCGTGCCTTCAGGAACCAGGATTTTTGCTAGATAACCTTCTTCCTGTACTTCAAAACCTTAAATAAGAAAAAAAAATCCATATGTTAGGTAAATTAGGACACTATGATCCCTTCAAATGAAAATGTTTTAAATAAAAGGCTCTCCCCTCTTTCAATTATATTTTGCAAGAGTTTTGGGGTGTGTGTTTCTTTAAAGGAAAACCCAAATTATGCTTTATTTAGTTGTTTTTCCTATTATGAATCAAACATAATGTGTTGCAAAAATATAACTAAAAGCAGCAAGCTGAAGACAAATTTTTGTCTTCCTGATCCTGGCTTTTGATGCCGCTGTGTTTCTCCTTGATAGACATAATCCTTAAAGTTCTCTACATATCCCACGTAAAAGACAATTAAAAAGAAGGCAATAAATAACATGTTTAAAAAGAAATTAAAAGGCTCCAAAGCCACAATAAAGTTGAAGTATAGTTCAGTGAGACTGGCATTCAACTGCAAATAAATGTATCATTTTTAAATTTTGCTTTCATTTTGCAAAGAACAGAATCCTCTGTCCCCCCCTTCTCCTTTTAAAAGTCAAAGTTTATTTTTATTTAAAAATGCTCAAGAGTTTAAAAAAAGTCCAAAGGATCAAAGACATCTAGGTTCAATAAAGCTTATAGTGAATGGTCCCCATCTGTGCTTCCATTGCTTTAGCTTCAACTTCATTACGGCCAGCACTGAGCCTTGGAGTTACTTCCAGATTGAGACAATTCTAGTCTCCAGTGTTCATAAAAGCCTGTTATGGTAGTAATGACGAAAACAACACTTCAATAACAGTCACTGTCACTGCAATGCACAATGTTGCATAATTGTGACTCAGAGCCACCAAAGTTAATCCAGAAATACAAATTACAACTCCACTTAATAAAAAGCAGTTGTAGTTGCATATTTTAGGTGAAAATGGGTCCTCCAGTCTTGTCCACCTCCTGGTCCAAAAGTCTTATCTGGTATTAATAGCAGCACTTTTGGCCAATAGCCAAACAATCACCAAGAGGAAATACAGAATCCTTCCTTTTAAGAAAATGTTATGAGGAAGTATAATATGCAGAAAGATAAAAAGTACTGTGGTGAAAATAACTACAGGCAAGAGAGGACAGAGAACAGAGAATTGCTCTTTAAGCTCCTCCTCAATCCAAGCAGCATACATAATACTAATGGATCTAGGTGCTAACTAAAAAGTCAGCAGTTCAAATCACCAGCCACTTCTTGGCATAGACAGTATCTTCTGATAAAGATGTATGACCTAGGAAACCTGATGGTCACTATGAAAATGGGTTTGAGAGGGTCACCCCAAAGTGCCATTAAGAAATCGTGGGTTGTGAAAACCCACCCATAGCTGACCCTCCAGGAGGTTTTTCAAGGCAGTAAATCAGATGGGAGGAGACTGTCCGTCTTTCTCTAATAGAGCAACTGGTGGATTTGAACCACATGCCGTTGGAATGGCAGTGCAGCACCTTATCACGAGGCCACCAGAGCTTCCTTTATAAATATTATAAGTATACAATTATGTAGATTTTGTATGTAAGTACAAACAAATCAGAAAGGGGCTACATGAAAATGTGTTGTGCTGGCTGAGTAAAAAAAAAGATTAAAAAAATATGTATAGACATACACACAGAGCAGTATATATACACACACGTGACTATTTTATGTAATATATTTGTTATATTACAGCTATCTACACTATTTTTTAATATATTATTTAGTTATATTAATTTATGTTGTTTTTTTTTAAACTGAGGGAGTCTGGTAGCATAGTCCACAGGGAGATGCAGGCTAACCCAATGCCTTATCTCTCCAACAGTTCTAATCCACCAGCACCTCTTAAGAAAGAAGATGGGCAATCTACTCCCATCCAATTTACAGCCTCTCAAAAACCCACTGGAAAGTCAGTTATAAGTCAATTCTGACTTGCCATCAATGAGTTATGCAACATAAAAATAGTACAATATACTATCTTCATATACAAGAAGGCAGGCTGGCACAAGCGGCTAAAGATTCGAATGTTAATTGAAAGATGAGCAATTTTTTTTAATTTTAATGAAAGTTTACAGAGACTTAGGATTTCTATTTCTTCATTGTTACACTTTTCTCCCTGCCCACCCCTCCCCGCAAAGTGAGCAATTTTAACCCATCAGCTGCTCTGCAGCAAAAAGATGTGGCAGTCAGCTTCTGAAAAGATGTACAGCTTTGGAAACTGAGCTAGTTCTACACTGTCCAAAAGGATCAGTATGAGTCGGAATCAACTCAATGGCAATGGGATTTGGTTTTCTGGGGTGTGTGTTTGTACACCCCCCCCCCAAATATTGTATTACGGATATCTATTAAAAATTCTTAAAGCCATCTTAGATTCTTTGGTGTTTTCTTGCCTTGATGGTAGTTAATTTCCACTGTCCTTCTCTATGTCTAAATAGGGGCAATTCTGATAAAGTTTCTCAATAATATAATTAGGCTATAAAATAAATTCTATCCTAAGAATAATCCGTGGGTTGACATATCCTTGGATTCTTTCAGAGTACGGTATGGAAACGGCAAATACAATGACAAATATTTTTCTTAAAACATTCTGTCCCAGAAAATGAATCCCAAGAATGACAGTATTCATGTTATCATTCACGACAGATTAGGATGAAATCCTCTACCTTCACTGTAAAACTCAGTGCCTGAGTGAGAGTCAGGGAAATCTCACCTATGGTGGCCTTGTCAGTCTCTATCTCTGCCAGTAAGTCTCCTTCACTTAGCTTCTCACCCACTTTTTTTTCCCATCGCTGAACTGTGCCCACGGTCATGGTGGGAGAGAGGGCAGGAAGAAGCACCTATAGAAACAAATACTTATTATTATTTCAGTTGAAGAAACAGTGGACAGGGGCACCCAAGCAAGTGTCTATCATTTTACAGATAGGTAGCAACTATGACAAGCTACTTGCTCCCCCATAATAGGAAGAGCTCAGTGCCTTGGACAACTACCCACCAGTTAAATAACACTTAAATGATACTGGTACTTTTAGCTTCACAGAATTATTTCAGTGCAGACTAGTACAATGTTACTGTGCTCTGTACCTAGCAACTGTCTTTTCACTCACCGAAAAAAGCATTTCTCCCAACTTTCCAGGTATCTTTCCAAGATAAACAAAAACCTGACATTCAGAATTGTCATCACAATAAAAATCCAAGCATCAGGGGCTGATTTAAATAAACTTTTTTCCTATTTATATGGCATGTGTCCTATAAATTCAGATGTTTCATCAGTTACTGTGAATTTCACTTACTATCTTCCAATCTTTTGTATCTACCATGAAATGGTAAGAAATGAACTATGATATGTACTGAGATACAATCTGCTGAACAGGATGAAATAAACACATGAACTGAACACGAGGCACAACTTCATCAGAAATGATTGTTAACAAAATGACCAGAGTAAACCATTATGTGCAAAAGGGAAAAAAAAAAATTCTTACACAGAAATTCTATAAATAAATTACATAAAGATAAGGTTCTAGTCTTAATTCCTTTTAAAAAAAAAGATTGGCTCTTCTCCATTTCTAAAATTCCCAGATACATATGGAATAATGTCAATATCTAAGAAATTGACACACACATAATAGAATCAACATTGATTGTCTTCATCTTCAATACAATGCTATTGTACAGTTATGCATTGCTCAACATTCATGAGCTGATCTTTGAAAAACAAATCTATGTGACCTGGACATCAAGTGAAGACTATTTTATATAAAGGCAGCCCCTTTCATTACAAATCAGTTCTATTCTCAAGGTTACCTTAAGTCAAGTTTGTGTATAATCTAGAACAGTCTTATATAACTAGTGTCTAATGTCAGTCAAATGTTGTTCTCAGTATATAGTGTACTTTTCAAAACATAAAAAATTTAAAGAAAACCTATAGATATACTAAGACATCTCTAATAATACAACAAATTCTGAGACATGTCACACCTACACAAGTGGCACCTGTTTAAGTATTTAAAATTTTTCAATACAATAGGCTTTAGGAGGGTTGGAACCCTGGACATGTACACAGTCGGATGTTGCCCTAAAAGATATCGTATTATTTATTTTATCATTTTTCAGTCATTGTTCTGGTTTAGTAAAACTACTGGACTATTTCACCAAATTATAAAAAACAGAACACCACATATGAATGGGAAACACCAACCAGAGATTTTCATTCAACAGACAGCATGTGATAAGGAGCTCTGGTGTCCTAGTGGCAAGAAGCTGTGCTGTAATGAACTCTATTTATACAGAAAGTGGAGGTAAGTACAAATTATCCTCAAAATTTATAACATAATATTCTTGAATAAGAAGTGCAAGTATTAATCTCCACACTAAAAAAAGGCTCAAGAGCTACCCACGCTCACACACCTGGAAGTAACAGCTAGAAATGAAAATAGTTTTCATGCTTAAATCTCTATTTATGAGAGATTTAACAGCGAGATATATTTAATGCCAGTTTCTAGGCTGTGACTGTATCCATCCATGAGAAATGATGAATAAATAACAAAATTCTCGAGAATAAATACCCAGAGGCTGAGCCTCACCTGCATGTGAGTGGGGTATGAACTACCAGGAGCCTGAGCAGAAGGTGTAGGTGGTGAAGCAGCAGGGGTTGGTGTTGGGGCTGCTTGTGGGGTAGGTGCTGCCGAGGAATCCAAAGTATAATTTTTAAAGGCCTCAATATCCTCAGGTCTAAGGAAGAGAAAGAATGCATAAGTATATGGGGGTTATAAGGCAGAATCAGCTCCCAAAGAATCAGTCCTCAGAAACCTTTAACTCCTAATTTCTCAACCCTGGGTTAAGTATTCCACTTTGCAGTCAATCTGTACAATTTATCAGAGTATCACTCACTTTTCAACTGTAATACAGATGATCGCTCCCACTGGAACATCTCTGGTACCTTCAGCAACAAGTATCTTTGCCATATAGCACTCCTCCAGGCTCTCAAACCCAACCGTGGCTTTATCAGTTTCAACCTTATAACATAGAGAAGCAGTTTAAGTGTGGTCAGTCAGTCTGAACCTAATTAATGGCAATTCCTGAATCAAAGCTGAACAGTTTAACAAAGCTTCCATCAGAGATTTGGAAAAAGTAGTCATAAAAATAAATGTAGGCTAAATATTAGTGCAGTTAACTGCTGAAAAATAATCTAGCCAATCTTTTTTAATATCAAGTTGTGGGAGAACAAAACCCAACCCAAAACACCTCAAAATCGTTTTTTTAAGCAAAGTGAATCCACCCAGCAGTCAATGCTCAGTTTAGCAAAGTCAGTCCCTTTGACCTCTCTCTTTACATTTTAAAACAACTCACCTCTGCAATTAATTCACCCTCATTGATTTTTTCCCCTTCCTTTTTTTCCCAACGGGCTATGGTGCCTGCTTGCATTGTAGGGGAAAGAGATGGCAAAGGAACCTAAAAGGGAAAATAAAGAAATATCATCTTTAAGGAGAGTAATAATCTAAGTCTCAATCTAGTGGAAGGTTTCATTCAACTCCATTTCATTTAATGCAAAATTAACTGAGTCAATATTGGGAGTCGAGGATACAAATGACAGTTCCTGCCTACCAAAAAGTCATACTCTCCAGAGACAAAAAGCTTCCAGTTAAAGCCCGCGGGTCTGACAGCTGCATGCAGTGTATCACCCTGGGCTTGGGGCTTCCCTTTCAATGGGATAGAAAAGAAGAGGGAAGCAGGAAGGGCAAGGCTAGAGGATCACATCACTGAAGCCTCAGTAAAGTACTCGGGTCAAGTCACCCTTGAAGGACAAATAGGGTCTCACAAAGGACGGATGGGGAGCTCACCTTCTGATGAGGGGGTAGACTGTAACAGCGGCGGCCGGACGACCCCAAAAGCTGCAGCAGGAAGCGATTTCGTTGTGAGGGTCGAGTGCTGGGGTTCCAACCACAGAGTGCACGGACCCCTCCATACCTGGTACTGGTGCTTTTGCAACGAGTCAGAGCCGGAGACCGGCCAGTTCGCAGGGTCACGCACAGAGATCCAGGTCCCTCTTTCAACGCCGTGCAGCGAGCCCCAAATCCCGCCCTTGGGGCCGCGTTCTGGGCCCGCCGAGCACAGACACGCCACATAATTGCTAGCGACCCCACACCCCAATTGCAAAACCTTCTCCGGAGTGACCTCTCCGGGAGCAGCACGACGCTGCCGTCAGCCACGCCACGCAGCCGCACGTTGTCGTAAAACGGGCCCTGGAGGCTCGCTCAACCCCTTCCCCAGGGCAGAAATGTGTGAGCAAACGAGGGAAAGGGCGAGGCGGGGCGGTGCTGGCAGGTACAACCGCAGCGACGGGGAACCTTCCAGTCGAGCCAACGCTGGCAGAAGCTGGAGAAATGGGAGTGGAAGACGGCGGGGTCGGAAGAGAAGCGTTCCCGAGATTGGGACGGGGTTGGTGGGAGGGACCTCGAAAGACGGGAGGAGCAGACCTAATAGAATGAGAAGCTGCATGGCCTGAGAGGCTGGCATGAGGTGAACCCCTGGCGAGTTTTGGGCAAGATCTGGACACCGGGAAACTGGGGCCAAAGGGCGGGATTTTGGCACTTCTGTCTGGAAGAGCTAACAACTCCTGGAGACAGGTCGGAGGAGTGAACGTCTCCGGGCAGCCTCGGCAGTTTTCCAGCCACTTAGAGGAGCGGCCGCGTGGTAGATGTTAGGAGTCGGAACTAGTCAGCGGCAGGTAATCGCACGGGAGGAGATGGCTCATCCTTCTCCCGCGGAGCAGCTGGTGGATTCGAACCGCTTATCTTCAAGATTGCAGCGCAGCTTCTTACCACTAGGCCCCCAGAGCCGCCTTTAGACATAATAGAGCATTTAAATGGAAGTGATAGATAAAGTTTGAGTTTGTGGGCTGGGAGCGGTGAAAGGAGGAATTAGCTTTCTTTTAAGAGTCTTTTTAAGAGACTATTTCTTTAAGAGTCTCTTAATGCTTCCTGCTTTTTTTGGTTTTTTTTTTTTCTTAGAAACTTCTTACCGTTTACATTCTTGGGTTTTCATTTATTTGCATATTTAGAATTTCAAAAGAAGTGATCATTTAGAGAATTCTCTTTGATAGTAATAACCAATTTCGTGCTTACCTAGAAATACCAATAGCGCATTATCTGTGGCAATAAAGTAATCCTTCTCTTCACATTGAGTAGAAAGTAAATATATTACCCGGGAGAGCACTTGAGAAGATTTACTTTACTTAAATGTAAATGGCTTACTGGTTACTCTATCAGTAAACACAAAGATGATTAAGAGTACTTAGTTTGCAAACTCCATTTTATTCAGCTTTTTTTGTTTTGTTTTTAATTAGTACATAAATCTCTGGTACATACAGCCAGGTAGTTAAAACTGGTTATCACTTTGATAATCAGAAACCTTTGATAGAACAGTCTTTGTGAAAACATACCATAAAACAATACACAGAAAGCAATGGTTGCAAACATCCATGTTTCTAAGAAAATATAACTTTACATATATCGGCATTTTAAGCAAGCTATACCTCTTACGTAAATTCAGACATAGGAGTGTGCAATCATAACGCTCATTTTATGGAGAAAAATGAAAATAATTATAAGTATGACCTAAGTGCTTCTTAGTAGAGTCCTTTTAGATTGGATGTACTGCATGGAGATTTCCCTAATTTACATCCATCCTGGTCAAAAGAGCTGTAAAGCTGGTAAGTAGGATGCCATTACAATGTAATTGAACCCAGATTTTTAGGCACAAACTGTAAAGTGTTCCAATCTCAGCTAATTCAAGAAACTGAGCAAGTGAATAGTCAATTTTAGGGATGACTTTTTAAGGACTTTAGTTCTCTACTGAATTAGTTTATAGGAGAGGGTCATTTATTTCTGAAGTGGTTTAAATATTATTCTTTAAACTTTAAACATACTAGTCCTTTAGGGTTTTTTTCAGGCAGAAAGCAAGCAATATTGGGATAGACTATTCCACAAAAATACCTCTGGGGGACAAAACTATGCATAAGTCAAGAGGACTCCTGGAGTAGTGCAGCCACAGTGCATCCATCTGGGAGACTTCAAAACAGTGAATGAGAACTCCTCAGAAGGTTTCTTTCCCTTTACAAACTGGAATGAAGATCATCAACACATTTTGCACAAGAGATCTCACAGTAGGGATGCTTAGTCACTAGCCATGTAAACCAACTAAAGGCGGGGAATATGTTTTCGTCCCAAGTCCCCTGAATGCAACTCAGCTTGTGTTGGAGGCACTGAGGCCACGCAGCTTCTTTTCCAAAGGACACAGAAATAAGACAAATAAGGTAGAGGACCTTGGCATTTTCTCTGCTTTTAATTTTCTCTGACAAGGTATATTCCACCTAATAATAAATAGACTGCTGAAAGAAAACTGACAAATTATAAATTTAAAGACTGTCAAGAAAAAAATGTACTAGAAATTCAGTAACATATTTTGGCTTGATAATCTCACATTGTATTAGAATAAAACACTGAAGGACATGCAATAAAGAAATTTGGGACATGAAGATTTTTTTCTCCTGACTTCCTTGGGGTGGGGAGTGAGGGGATTGATGATAAAATGTTCTGTTTGCTTTCACAAGGAGTTATCCTTTTGACTTTCCCAGTCATTTCTGATGAGAAATTTTTCAATAGCAAGAATATCAGGTAAACTTAGAATGAAAGAACCTAAGATGTCTTTTGAGTTCCTTCTGTCCTAAAGGAGCAGTCATAGGGATTACAAGACATTGCCTCCACAAATGAAATTGGCAGGTAGATCTGGGACTGCAACTAGTTGTCATCAGTAAGCTTGTAATAAAATAAAACTTGTTTGACACCACAAAGGGTGGTAAGAAGAGCCTGTATAAAAATTAATGGGTTCTCTAGAAAATGGATACAGTATAGCGAATGTGAGAATATATAGAACTCACACTCAAGTTATAAAAATAGACATGGTTCTCAGACAAAAAAAAGCAAATGAGTACAAAAGAATTCTCCAAACACGAGCTGTTTAAAAAGACATCTGTATCAAACAACAGGATGTCATCTCAGAGCTCAAAGAGTAATCCGTTGAAATGGCTGAAAAGGGAAGATGAGTTGAAGGCAGACAGGTCAGGAACCCAGAAGTGATCTGTCTGACTCTTCAGTTGGCAGTGTACATTGGTCACAGGCAGGCTGCTTAGGGGAGTACGTAGGTAATAATGGCTGGTTGGTAGATAACACTTCGTGAGGGAATGAGAAAGCCTGGGTTACCAAGTAATTACTCAGAGTTTCATTCTTAGTTTCTACACTTTATAATGTTGCATATGAGAAAGAATTCTGGGTTTTTTTTCACCCAGAATCAACCCTGCCATTCACAACTCATGCTCCATGCCCCATGGTTTCTACTGTGCCCTAAAGGATCGGTCTATACTATTTATTTAATATAAAATAACTCCTGGCCTTAAAATGAATAGGGGCAGACCAGTAGTTCATGCTCAATACTCAATAATCACAAAGAAACACTAAATGCAGTGGTCTGTCTCCTTTTGATTGTGAAGGAGATGCCATGAGCCTATTGGCTAAAGAAAGTCTCGAGAGAAAGAAAGTCAAGAAGATATGGGTAGCAGCACCTTTCCATACCCGCCTGGATTTTAAGGAGCTTTTTAGGACTCCTTATTCCTTGCAAACACAAAAAAAGCTCATCAGCTGGAAGGGGGAAAAAGGGCTCTAAAGAGTCCCCAGAGAAAACAAGCAGTACAAGAAATATGCCCTGTGTGGGCTAAAGGACAAACTGCAGAACCAATTAAGACACAAAAGTCAGCCTACAGTCTTATAGTTTTGAAAAGAGTATAGCACAAGATGGGCAGCCCTTTTCCATCCAATCAATTCAGCACCATCCACATCCCGTCCAAAAGATGAATGAAGGGTGGGACGTTCATCTTTGGTACCGCCTCACAAGTTCTTGGTTTGTGTTAGCTGCAAGATAGCAGAAAAGCTGGTTGATACCTTTGCCTTGTCTGTGAGTACAAATGTTGGGACTCTGCTGCAAACATTGAGGCCAATTAAAATAATACTGTAACACACAGGAGTGATGCTTCTGATTCCCAGATTCCAGATAATAGCAGCCATGCCCCTAAATGGGCGGGATCATCCATCCCCTTTAGTTAAGGCCTTTGGTTGTTGTCCTCAGAGTAAAACAAAACACTGCTCCCACGGACAAAACTCCAGAAGAACCCATGGTCTACATTTGGACAGGGATTTAAGTACCAAGTATGCCAGGCACGGAAACAGGACTGGCCTATGGCCATCACACTTGGAGAAGCTTCTGTTTTGGCAGCATGAACTAGAAACTTCTTCGTGTAATTCTGACGTTAGTCCTCTTTCCTGAGTGAAGCAGCCAGGGTATGACCAGGTTCCACAAGGCCCCAATCTAATAATCAGCATTAATTCTCTCCATGGTCTTCTTCCACCCAGGCTACAATTTTCCCTTCCCATCCGGGGATGGCATCATCATCATGGAAAACCTAGAAAAAGAAAAGAGTCAAAATAAAAACAGAATAAGGTGAAGTCTTAAGTAATTGCTACTTCTAAAATATCAAACATAAAAAAGATGAGATATAGTGCCAAAAACCTTGAGTCTGTGATCCTTTGGTTTTGCCCCTAATGTCACCCCTAGTGATGGTATAGTGTATCAATGGTTCAAATCCATCAACTATAGGAGAAGGGTTAGCAACATCCTCATAAAAATTTATAGTCTTAGACTTCAGTGGAGAATCTCCATGAGTTGGAATTGAAACAATGAGTTTAGTTAAAAAGTACAGATACAGAAAGGCAGAGATAGTGATCATATTTATGGTTTAGAAGTGTATACACACAAGTGGGAAATTTTGCCCCAAGCATTTGTAAGGGGGAGGGAAGGGAAGGGCTGGAATTATGAGCAATCTTAACATGTTTCTGAAATGCAGTTATTTTCATTCATTGATTAATCTCCTGAGCCACTAGTAGAACAGGGATATGAAAATATTTCACTGAGGAAATCCTTATAAACATTGATTTCCCTCAGCCCTCAACTTTTCAGTCTGTAACTACATGATGACATTTGGAATACTTCATAAGCCAAAACTTGCTTGTAGAAAAAACATTTATTTGGCAAATAGATTATAAAGGGAGGAATAGACTTAAGAAAACAGGTAGGAGGTAGGAATAAGGATAGCTGAATCCTCAGCAGTTCCTCACTTTCATTATCTGAAAAACTATGACCACATAGTAAACAGTTTCCAGATATTCGCACTGTTTACTTATTCTATGTATGAAGCAGCATGTTTTCTAGATTTGGCTTCAGGTAGACAAGCAGCCCAAAATTTTAACTTCTGTTTTGTTTTCTCCTAAGTAAATCCGTCTTTCCCCTTTGAAAAGAAACATTCAGCCTAAATTCTTGGTCAAAACTTAAAGTCCTGGAACTAAAGTGGAGGAATAAATGTGACAGTTACCTCCACACCCTGGTAACATCTAAACCAGCCAGAAAAATACCTGACCAGACAATGAATCCTGACAAGGCTCTATCCTCCATAACCCTCCCTAAAACCCCTATAAAAAGAAACCGCCCTTAACTGCCCGAGCACCATTCTGACTCTCTCAACATGACGTCCCTCTTAGACCACACAATAAAAGCTTGTTCACTTCTTGGGACAAGTTTCTCCTTCTCGCCCTCGAATGTTTTTCTATCTAAAACAAAGCATCAACTTTTGGGGCCATTCCATCTCCACTTTTGTTGTTAGGTCCCATCGAGTCAAGTATGACTCCCGGCAACCATGTGAACAACAAATTTGAACCCTGTCCTATCCTGTGCCATCCTCCTCATCCCCACTGCTGCAGTCACTGTGTCAATCCATCTTAAGGGTCTGTCACCCTGGGACCTTCTTTATATCTGATTCTAAAACTTGGACGCTTTGGGGTGGTAGTCCTTAAGCTAGAGGCTTTCACCCTCATGAATTCTGTACCTCCTCTTTAACAGTTCCAAACTCAGGATCCAGTGCTTTGAAATGATAACGGTGATTCCCTTCTCGGTCAATAGCTGCTTTAAAATCCTTCAGTGTCACCTCCCCCAACCTAAAATAAAAGGAGAGAGTATAAGATAGATTGTTAATCAGTAGGTTGTAAAGGTAAGAGGTTAGCTTTTAACCTAGGCCCCTGCCAAAGTCCCTACAGACATAAATAGTCTCGTAATTGGTTAAGTCACTGCTCCTGATAACACAGACAATTCTAAAATGCAGAGGTTGGGGAGCAAGTCATTGGCAGAGATTGAAAGTTAAACATGGGGCGACCTTTAAAAAAGATTGATTGCTTTAGCAGCAATCAAATCACTTTTCTGTTTTTCTACAATGTAAGCTCTCTAAAATCTCATTTGTTGAATAACCAAAAATACAACTTAAATTCTCTTGATTTCCTTCTTTGCTACATAAGCATTTTCCTTAGAATGACACACACACACACACACACACAGATACATACATCTAAGTGTGTGTGTGTGTGTGTGTGTGTGTCTCTCTCTCTCTCTCTCCAGTGGACAGGAAGTTGTGCTGCCAATCCAAAACAGGTGGTTCAAATCCACCAGCTGCTCCATGGGAGTAAATTGGGCAATCTCTTCCTGTGCAGTTTACAGCCCCTGAAAACCTGCTGGAGGGTCCACTAAGAGCCAGTTTTAACTTAAAGGCACATAACATATATATAGATATATAAAAGAATATGTTTAAAAAGAGAAGAATTTAAAGGCCTTTCCGTCTTTTTCTTTTTTAAAGCAGTTCTTTGAAGGGAACATATTAAGCAAGTGTTTTTAACATTAAAATATGTTTTGGTTGCAATTCTCAAACAGTAACAAATATCAAGGAGTAATACCCCTGGAAGTGCTGACTGTAATCCATAGCTAGCAGCAGGAGATACTTGGCAGCACATGAAAAACGACTTTTGGAGCCTTAACCCACTTTCACCAAAGCATGCATTTTAAAGAAAGCATATTTGCTATTAAAAAAAAAACAAACCAAAGAACCCACAACACAAAAACAACATTTCATTTACAAGTGTAGAGCATATTTACATAACTACCAGCTTTGGGAGAATATGATTATAGTAAAGGACACCCTGCTTCTGTTTATACAGCTGGTCAGCAATGCATCTGGAACTTCTCAGAAGCTGTGTTCTGTGCTCTTCAGCTACATTGTACTACTTTTCAAGACTCTCTCAGCTGATCAGAGGCAGCAACTAACTTTCGTGCCCTTCTCTGTTTTTACAGAAAAATGATGAACGCAGATTCTCACCTCTTTGGTATATTGACCATGAAGGGAGTAAGTGACCGGTCAGTGAAATAGAGTACTTTAGTGCAGGCGCTGCTGATAGTTGGAGAGCTCTGTGAGTGAGGCAACTCTGCAATCAGAGAGACTTGGTGGTTACAACACTGAATTTACTTAAAACCTCCTCTCATTTCTTGGTATTCAGAATGTCCCAGGAGAATGAAGCTGCCTGAGGTGACCACATGGCTTTCATGTCCTTGCCAAAGACCATGCCCATAGGGTACAGTCCACAGGAAGTCACTGGTGGGACCACAAGGACAAGGGTTGTTTGAGGCATGGACACTCTCATCAGGAGCTTCATTTCTCCTTCATTCCAGGTACTGATCTGACAGGCTAAAGGTCAAAAAAGGACAGAGAAGCCTGGCAAGACTTCAGCTGAGACAGAGCGGAGAGTGGACTCATAGCAAAACCTGCCCACTCTGCCAACATTTAGAGTTTTGAGGGCAGTCCAGAAAGCTCGAGTGATTCTGGAAAAGAGAGATGAATAGGTACCAAGGTAGCCTCAGAAACTCATCCCAAGAGTCTTTATAATTCCAATCCGTAAGTACAGACTTACCTTATCCTTCAGCAACCTGCACAGATCTATATACGTGGGTCCTATGATCTTGTTCACGGTTCTATAACCACATCTTTATCCCTTGTAAAAATACTTATGAAAAGTCTTACTAAGTGCTTCTGAGTATAGATTTAATAGGTAAAAATTCTGACCAGAAACCTTTATCTTAAGGAGCAGAGATAAATAATTAAATGTTTCTGGAAGTCTCTCCTGGAATTGCACCTACACCTATTTTCACCTGAACTTATGTTAGGCATTGATCCAAATGAAAGTGGCAGCCACAGACGTTCTGTGTATGGGTTAAAAATAAGGGAGAGTATGCAAGGCAATCACATTTGGTCAGTTGTCAGAGTTTATTTTTTCAAAGAAATGTTACTTGTTGAAGCCATGATGCTCTTTTAGCCCCCTCACACCAGTGCCTACTGCATAGTGGTGATTTAATAAAGACTTGCTGTATAAACAAAAAACTCACTTTTAGAATAACTATGTGATTAAGATTCATCCAATGACCAAACATTTGAGGACTGACGGTGTTAGAATTTGACCACAAAAAATCAACTCTAAATCCTCAAAACTTGTAATAGAATCTAGTGTAGATGACAGACATGATTGCAAATAGTTATATGTTCTATTATATAAAATCTGATTTGGGGAAAAAATCAGATTTGGACAAACTGAGAAGGCTGAAGATAGGAGAGGTCAGAGGACACTTGAAAAATAAAGGCAGATAGAAAAGTTAGTTGTTTCGGGAAGAGGCAAGGACACAGGCAAGAGTATGAGAGAAGATCATGCATGTGTAAACCTGTAAGCAAGCAAACAGGTGTGGAGCATAAGGAATATACTGGGAAATCATGGCAGATGAGGATGAGAAAGGGAGTAGGAGCCGAATTGCAGAGGCCTCTGAAGCCAGGCTAACAAGTTTAGATATTAGTCCAAAGATGGGGAAATAGTAAAAGATAGTGATAGGATCAGACTGCCAATTTAGGGGAAAAGATCAGTGTAGCTGCCAAGTGTGGACTAGATGGGAGAAGCTCTGGAAACCAGTAGTCCTACTAGGAAGCAGGGGAGTGCTGGTGGACACCACAGGGAGCTGTGCTGCTAACCCAACAGCAACATGTCTCCTGGGATCTGGATCCCTCAGCTGCTCCACAGGAGGCAAGGGGGAACTTTCCTCTGAAAATCAGCTTGAGGTTCAGCTGTAGGTCGTTTCCATCTTGATAGTAGTGAGTTTGGGGTTTTCTTTTTTTTTTTTCCTTTTTTTTTTTTTTTTATGTGTGTACCGTCAAACCAGATCTGACTGGTACAGGAAGCGAATGTTCCTCCTTCAGCAGAGCATCTGGTGGATTTGAACTGCGTACCTCTGGGATTGCAGTGCAGCTTCTTGCCACTAGGCCACCAAAGCTCTCCATGAGTTTAGGGTTTTGAGATTAGGAGGCAGACAAAAGATGAGGAAAGGTAAGATGTTGCTCTGGAGCCAAGAGAAGTATGCATTTGAGAGGGTTAGAAGGTAAAGATTTTAGTATCTGTTATATAATTGAACATGGAAGATAAAAGGGAAAAAGTAAAAAAAACAATTACTCAGATTTGTGTCTATAAAGATAGATGATAGCACCATTCACTAAGATGTTGTTGTTATGTGCTGTTGAGTCACCTGAGACTCATAACAACCCTATGTATAACAGCCCTAAACCCCACTCTATCCCTTGCCAATCTTATTGTCTCTGACACACCTACCCTCATTACCCTAGTCAATAAATCAATCCCTCTCATCAAGGGTCTTCCTCTCCTGTGCTGTCTCTCCATCCTCCCAAGTAGGATGTCCCTCTCCAAGGACTCATCCTGTCTCATAACATGTCCAAAGTATGTCAGCCGAAGCCTCAGAATCCTTGCCTCCAAGGAGCAGCCTGGTTTCACCCTCTCCAGGACGAACTTGTTTATTTTTCTAGCAGTCCGTGGTCTATTCAATTCTCTTCTCCAGCATCACAGCTCAAAGGCATCAATTCTCCTTCTATCATCCTTAGTCATTGTCCAGCTTTCTCATGCATAGCAAGTCATTGCAAAGGCCATCATGGCCTGTATCAGATGCACCTTAGTTTCCAGACTGACATCATTGCTCTTCAGTACTTTGGAAAGGTCTCTGACAGCAGACTTTCCCAATGCAATTCATCTTTGAATTTCCTGGCTGCTGGTACCAAGAGTGCTGATTGTAGAGCCAAGCAAACGGAAGCTGTTAACAATCTCAATCTCTTCACTATCTATCATGATGCTGTCAATTGGCCCAGCGGTGAGAATCTTTGTGTTCTTGATATTGTGCTTCAATCCATAATGAAGGCTGCAGTCCTTGACCCTCTGCAGCAAGCGCTTCAGGTCCTCCTCACTTTCAGCAAGGAGGGTTGGTCATCAGCATAATGAAAATTGTTGATAAGTCTTCCTCCAATCTGGATGCCACTTTTCTCCTCATAGAGCCCAGCCTCCTGGATAATCTGTTCCACGTATAGATTGAAAAGATATGGAGATAGGACACATCCTTCCCAAGATAGAGAACAGAAATAAGTTATATGGTCTGATTTATTTATTTAAACTTTCTTGGGTGACTTATTACACTTCAAAACTGGAAATGTGGGGGAGGAGGAAGGGAAGGAGAGGGCACAAAATGTGCAACAATGAATGAATTAAAATCTAACTTTTCTGTAAACTTTCGTTAAAATCACTATTAAAATAAAATATTAATAAAATAACTAGAAATGCAAAAGTAAATGAGATAAAATCTTCATCTTTAAGGAGCTCAAAGACTAGTGGGGAATGATTGGGTAAAACAATTAAAATTACATAGAAAATAACCAACATAAAATGAGAAGTCAGAGTCCACAAGTGGCATCTCAGGGCACAGCAGCATTTACGGACTAGAGGAGAAGAAAAGGAGATTCAGGGAGAGTTAGCAGTCAAAAAGAAACAACTGGGTCTCTAATTCACTTGAGTGCAAGACCAAGGTGAACCGGTACCGAGTCACTCCTGTTCACCTCTGTATCTCCTGTACCTAGCATATTGTTAGTGTTGTTGTAACATATGATACACTGCCAAGTTGGGACCCTCCAGAGGGTTTTCAGAGGCAGCAAATCGCATGGCAATTGAGTGCCCATCTTTCTCCCCGGGAGCAGGTGGCAGGTTTGAACCATGTGCCTTTGGATTGACAGTGTACCTCCTTACCACTAGGTACCAGAGCTAGATGCTCTGCAAATATTTGTTGAATAAATAATTGGTTAGCATTGGAACTAAAGGAGACAAATGTTTTCAAACAGACAGACTAGTGAAGAATAGTAAATGCTTTTGAAAAGTTAATGAAAGATAACATTTAACAGATAAATATTTGATTTGGCAATGAGCGGGTCAATAGTGGACTTAGGAAAAGCATACTAAGCCAGAATAACTGGGTAAAAGTCATACTGCTGTAGGTGATTGTAATGAATGCAAAATCGGAACAAAAAGGAAGCAAATGTAGACTGTTCTACAAGTTTGATGAAGAGAAATAAGACAGGAGTGAGAAGAGTAGCAGAATTAAAGATATTCTTAGATGTTCAGACATTTCATTTTGTTTGTAAATACAGATATACTGGCAGGTTTGGGTTAAGACTCTAGTTTACAAGAAGCTGTGACTATGTCTATAGTAATTTTGGAAAAGAAAGGAATATTTAGGAAAGTAAATATTTCATCCTGTACTGGCAAGCTTACACTCAAACAAAAAACAGAAACCACCAGCACTGTCAGTTCCCACCCAGAGCAGTTCTTGATCATGTTTCTGAGGATGTAAATCTTTATGGGAGGACACTGTCCATCTTTCTGCCTAGGAGAGGCTCCTGATTCTAACTACCAGCCTTTGGATTAGCAGCCTGTTATATTATGCACTATGCTCACTTAAACATCCAGGAAAAGTAATGAAGATGATAAGATAAAATCCTCTCAAGGAAACGTGAATATTTCAAAGCAATGCTATAAAAAGAACTCAAAACATTTTGTTTCATCTCCAGTATAAATATAGCTCATCAGAGGAAAAGAAGACAGATGGGATCAAAGATTTAAGAATCCTGTTTCACTTACTACATACACACACTCATTTTGCATTCCCATACTTGTGTAAATATTTTCACTGTTGTATTTTAGCCTTTGTTCGGTTCTGTGGTTTTAAAGGTTGTATATGCAAGATTGTCGTTAGGTGCCATCAAGCTGACACAAATCACAGCTACCTTATGAATAATGCATCTGAACCTGTCCTATCCCGTGCCACCCTCACCATCCCCGTTATATCTGAGCCCAGTGCTAGAGCCAGTGTTGACCCATCTTGTTGAGAGTCTTCTCTTTTGCTGATTGCCCCCCTCCTTTCCAAGTATGACGTCTTTTTCCAAGGACTGACCCTTCCTGGAAATATACCCAAAGTAGGTGAGAGCAAGTTTCACCATTCTGTCCCCTAAGAGGCGGCCTGGCCGCACTTTCTTTTTGTAACATCAGGAGCCCTTATTGCACACTGGTTCGAGTGCTCAATAAATTGGTTCAAGCTGCTAACAAAAGGTCTATGAAAAAGAGGTGCAGCAGTCTCCTGTAAAGATACAGCCCTAGAAACCCCTCCAGGGCTGTTCTGCTCTTTCCCCATGGCATCAGGAGTCAGAACCCACTCAACCATATGTAACATACATAACATCTGGAATGACTTTCCTCTGCCTCTTTATACTCACAGTTGTGTGGTTTATTTTTACCACTGTTTCATTTTATAAATTATTGTTTACAGATGTAAACCAAAGGATATGATATGCTGTTGTTGATTGTCGTCCAGTCGAGGTCGACTCATAGTGACTCTATGAACAAAAGACCTAATGTCTTTCCATAGCTGTCGTTGTTTCTCCAAGTTCATAGAGTTTTCAGAGGCATGTGGTTTGGCAAGTGGATGCCACTCCTGCTTCCAAACCTGTTTTACAACTGGGAGCTCCACCAAACACTGTCCACACTGGGCAGCCTTTCTGGTATTTGATACCCCAATGGCACAAGGTTCAACATCACAGCAAACCCAGGTTACTTCATATAGCACACTGACAAAGAGTGAGGTACAAAGTGGAAGAGTGTTCCTCCAGATATAACAGCACTAGTCTCATTTAGCAGAGGTTAAATGTCAAGTCGAATACAACTCTGAGTAAGCTTTGCACAAAAGACCTGAACTCTGTTCTATAATTAACATAATTTCTGCACATTTATAAGAGAGTTTGCATAGGAAAAAGGATAAGATAAAAGTTTTTTTAAAAAAATTAACAAGCAGTATATATTTCCAACACATTGGAATGAACAATGCAGGAAAGGAGGCATGGAGCAAATGAAAACGTACTTCTTAGCCATGGCCACTAGATGGAGCAAATATTTTTTTAGGATTTACATTGTCCTAACCTTTCAAAGCTTAAGGAAATTTCCAACAAAATTAAAATTCTTGATTCTAAGGACTGGACATTTTCTGTACTTTTTGAAACTTCAGAGTCTTTTGTGATGCTGTGTGTATGTGTATGCGTGTGTGTCGGGGCGGTTCATACTTTGCTTTGTTCAGAATAAATCTTTTGAACTTATGAGTTTTTGAAAAATGTTATGGCCTCTTGGAATCAGCAGCATCTTTCATGTGGCTAACTGGCACTCGCAAGAATAAGTGATGGAGAGAAAAATCCATCCTCAGAGTCATGAAAGTAATGTAACCCTATCATTTCTACAGAAACAAAATATTAGAAGAGTGGCACACTCTATCCTCAACATGTTTGCATTATTGGGAGATGGGGGGAAGTGGCCTTCTCCACATTTCCTTTTTCCAAGGTCTGTCCCATCTTGGGACATAACTTTCTAATAAATCTATCTTTACTTTTTACCTTAAAAAAAAAAGTACTAAACATAAAGTCCAATTTGCTGAGTGTCCTTTATGAACAAAAACGAGAACTCACTTGAGTTTGGGGGCCAGGACTCCCGGTATTCACTGCCTGCCTGAGTTCTGGGTGACTTGCCCCGAACCTGGAACCACACAAACATGACAAAGGTGATGACCATTGGAGGGATTTCATTATAAAAAGAAAAAAAGTTAAATCATAGAAGTCTAAATGGGACATGTTTATCCTAATAATAGTAACATATGAGTCAGATATGAGTCACTTTTGGCTTGATGATACACAACATGCTTATAAAATCTTTTCTACTTTCCAATGGACTTTGATATACTCTCATCCTGAGCTGTTTGTGTCACGCTCGTCAGGGACTTGGAAAGCAGGGAAGTAAGCAGTAGAGACCCTGCAGGCTCAAGGGTCACAATTCCTTCTTGTTGTCCTTACTGTGTGTTGTTGTATTTGAACAACTCATAGCTGACCCACCAATAGGTTTTCAGAGGTTGTACATCACACAGAAGGAGAAAACCCTCTGTCTCCGTGGAGCAGCTGGTGGATTTGAACTACCTGCCTTGGGTTGGCAGCTCAAATCCTTGCCACTAGGCCACCAGAGTCCTCACAGTTACTATTAATAGTAAGCAATATTCTCATCATCAACTCTTTCTTTGGGTTAGAAGAGCAACTACATCGTTCAGCAGAGTCTTCTATCATTTTCATTCCACCTTTATCTAAGTTGGTGCCCTGAATGGTGCAAACGGTCAAGTGCTCAGCTGCTAACCGAAGGGCTGCTGCTCTGAGTTATCCAGAGGCACGTTGGAAGAAATGCCTGGCACACTACTTCGAAAAATTGACCACTGAACACTCTACAGAAGACAGTTCTGCTCTGACAGCTGGGGTCATGAGAGTCAGGATCAGCCCTACACCAACACTGGTGCCTCTGAATGAACATTCATAGCCATGCTTCCTCAGGGATTTGTCTGAGAGACACACCACAGAAGGAATATTACCCTCCTTTCCTGTTTCTTCTGGGTCTCCATGACGTGCAGGCGCTCCATGAGGCTGGCGATGCCCTGCTCCAGGCTGTCGATCGTGTGGTGCTGAGGATCGTGGCCACTGAAACTGTTGCGTAGGCTGCGGAGAGCATCCCGGACAAGCTGTAGGTCACTGGTCTACAGGCAGAGAGAGGACGCTGCTGGCATGGTGCGCTGCTGTGCTAGCCAGGCTCCCCCCCCCCCCACCAGATTCAAGGAGAGAGAGGACAGGCCAGGAGAAAATGTTCATGCACAAAACTAGTAAGCTATCTAGTGGAAATTCAGTGTCTAAAATCTTTATACATCCACCAGATGCAGGACTCAGAACCTGGAAAGGCCTGGTCTGTGGTTGATGACTGGGGTGTGCCCTGCTTCAGCTGGAAGTGGCAGGTCTGTACTCAGCTCCTGAAAACTTACCCCTCTGTGGGCAATTGAAACAGCTCCTTTTCCTGCCATTGGAAGGAGAAAACCATTGCTCTGAGAGCTGTGACTGTTGTAGTTGGTCACCTACAGCGGCAAGAAGAAATGATACAAAGGGGGGTGAGAACAGTGGCACAACTCAGCGTAATCAGTGTCACCAAAAATGTTCATGTAGAAATGGTTGAACAACAAAAATCTCTCTCAACTGGCTCAGGATAGAGCAGGTTTCAGAGCTATTGTGCATAAAGTTACTATGAGTCACAATTCACTCAATGGCACAGAACACCAGCAACAGCAATTCTGTCCACTAACTATAGCTGACCCTCCAATGGCTTTTCCGAGGCAGTAAAGGGCACAGGAGGAGATTGCCCATTTTTCTCCTACAGAACAGCAGGTGGATTTGGTTGGCAACATAACTCCCTACCCAGGAGGCCACCAGAGCTCCTCTAAAACCCACCTACTCCTTATTTATCAGCATGCTGGGTTCCAAAGACCAGCTTGTTATGTGAAAATTGGCATTATGCAAAAGTGGAGAATGATCACATCATCACAAAGCAGAGGATGACATCATTCCCTAACTACCAAATGACATCATTACTGCCAAGCCACTGAGAATCATGGCCCTGTCAAGTTGGCACATAACCTTAACCATCACTCAGCCAGCATTGCTTTTGTCTTGTGCTTTGGTGTTTGTTATTGCCAGACATATGTTCTTAATGCACACAATTGCCATACAATAGAATTTTACTATGGTCCTAAACGTGAACTGTTGTTTAAAGAGAGTCACTAACTATGAGTGGGAAGTGAGTGTAACTTATTTAAAAAGAAGAAATAATGATGCTCATTGTGGGGGGAAATTTCTAAGCTAAGAAGCCCCGTCTTATTTTTCTTCCTTACATTGATCACTTACTGACACCATATAGAACTGTTTCAGGCCCTTCTCAGTGACGACTTTGGCAAGGAGGATGATTGTTGTTAGGTGCCATTGAGTTGAGTTCATGGTAACCCTTTGAACAACAGAGCTGAACCCTGTTCCATGCTACCCTGTGCCATCTGTAATTTTCCCTTGTCACTTCTGAATCTCCAAAACCTGACTGCTGAAGGAAGGAGACAAGAGGCCCTCAACCTAGACTCTGCACCAGCCACTTGAGGTTTCACACCAGCAAAGCATCAGGAAGCTGCTCCAGCACCACCTCTCTTTGCTTCAGTAATAAACTAAAATGGTAAAGAATTGTGCTGCCAACCTAAAGGTACATGGCGTGAATCCACCAGCTGCTCTGTGGGAGAAAGATGGGCAGTTTTCTCCTGTGCAAGTTACTGCCTCTGAATACCCACTGGAGGGTCAGCTATGAGTTGGTTCTGTGCTCCATGCCATAGTGAACCGTAACCCTGAACCCTGCTTGGCCTCCTTGGCTGCAGGCACTAAAGTGAGGCGGGGGTGGGGGTGGGTGGGGGTGAGAGAACACATAATTTCTTTTTTCTTTTTTTTTTTTTTGAGACTGACTCCATGTCAGATGGACCTAACATGAATGTACTTCTTATTCCTCCATGGTTTATCTGATGTATTCCTCATGACACAGAACTCATTGTTGTCAGTGAGAGGGAGAACCCGGGTTCCAGGTTACCTCATCTGCCTCTCTCTTCATACAATGAGCCAAAAGGACGTCTTTATGTTCCAGCTCCCGCTCCAGATCCACCTGTGAAACAGAGATGCAGTCAGAAAATGACTTCTTTAGGCCAGGTGGCCAGTATCTGAATATGCCCACACCTGCTGGTAACTGGCCTCAGAGAGTTTCCGGAGTGCTTCTTCCAGCTTGGCCTGGTGCTGCTGAAGGAGGCGATCCTTCTGCCCCAGCTCCTTCTGCAATGGACATAGAGCTTTCAGATCCGTGGCAAGAACAAGGACAATTCAACATTTACCCTTGGTGGTAAAATTTCCACCTGAGGGACAACTTCAGAGCAGTCCTTCCTCCAGCTCTAACAGGAAGACACTGCATGCCAAAATTAGCCTTCTACAGCTCAGAGGATTCTTGGAAAGGCAAGGAGGAAGGACACTAGCACTGCAGTGAGGCCACTGTGTACTATCCATTTTAGTTAGAAATAAAGGTTAAGACTAGAACTGAAGTTTCCAAATTCCTAGGCTCTGTGCTCCTTCTGCTAGTCAGGACACCTATTCTTCAGGGTCAGTGAATAAAGGAAGCAGAGAAAAAATATTTCCCTGCAGAAAGTAAAGGAGAGACCAGTGTAGGGAAGTATTCTTAGAGCAACTGCAAAAATGGGCAGGTTAAGCTGTGTATTACAAGTCAGAAATGCACTGCAATCCCAGAGGTGTGCGGTTCAAACCCACCAGATGCTCTGCTGAAGAAGGAGGAACAATCGCCTCCTGTACCAGTCAGATCCAATTTGATGGTACACACATAAAAAGAATAAAGAAATAAATAAAAATTATCTAAAAAAAACCCAAACATACCTGTTAAAAAAAAAAAGTCAGAAATTATTCCTAAACTGACGTCTGTTCTTAAACTGACCCGAGCTCACTGCCATCAAGTTAGTTCCGACTCCCAGCAGCCCTCCTCTGGGCTCCGAGGCTGTCAGTCTTTAGAGGAGGAGAATGTCCATCACTGGACAGAGGGGCGACTTGTAGGTTCAAACTGCTGGCCTTTCCTTGAACAGCCTGACACATGATGCTACCAGGGCTCTTCATTCTTACCTTATATTCTCCCAAAAGCCGGTTCCTCTCATCCAGCTTCCTCTGCAAATCCACCTGCAAGAAGAGTAAGACAGAACTCAATGGCACGGAGGTGTTGTCTGCCATTCCCAGTGGGAAACCAGCTACTCGGTGACACAGTGATGTTAGCAAGCAGGATACAGGACAGATATGGTATGAGAAAAACCACACAGCTTCTCTCCATATCTTTAGGGAGATAATTAATAAGGAGATAATAATAAATAGGCCAATTAGACGGTAGCACTTGAAATCAGACTATACACTAATTAGGCTGGAAAAGGATAAACAGGAACTATAAGTCAGTGCCCTCAAAGTTCAAGAGGAGCACAAGAGCCTTCTGCCTCATGTGTTTGGGGCTTTCACCTCAAAACCTGGTGGGGAATAAAGCTGGCAAGGACAAGCCCCCCAGAAGTAGGATGGTAGATGAAGAATCTATCATACAGTGCCCCCTTCCGCTACGGGGCTCAGCGAGATGAGCATCCATTCATTTAACGCACGTTCTGGTTGTGTAGCTCGTCTTTGTCCATGTTAGCCCTGAGCAGTTCTTGTTTGAGCTGAAGCACACATGTGTCCTGCTGAGTCAGCCTCTGCTGCAAGGCATCCTGGGGGGAAAGCACGCCAGTTATTTCAGTCCCACTTCATCCATCAGCCAGTTGTTCCTAAAAATTATTAGACCCTTGAGCTCAGGAGGCGGAGTCCCTAAGGGCTTGCATGACTAACTCAAGGCAGTTCCTCTCTAGCAGTTCAAATCCAGAAGCTGCTCCACAGGAGAAAGCTGGGCAGTCTCACCCCATGAGAGCTACCGCCTCCGAAAACCCACTAGAGGGTCAGTTATAAGTCTGTCCCAACTTGCCAGCAATGGAGTTTTGTGTATAATTAAACCTCTTATCAAATGTATATTCTGTCAAACTGGAAGGCAAAAGAAGTGTAAGAGTCTTACCATAAGGAGCTGAGCTAGTATTTTTCCTGTCCTTCTTCAGGACACTTGCATATGCAGGAAAAATCATACCTATTTTCCTACTGACTTTACTGCAACCTGATTTTTACATCCATTTCATCCTGAGAATGTTTCAACCCTATGAGACTCACATGAGTCAGAGCCGTGAGTCAGAATCACATGACGGCAAAGGAGTTTTGTTTGTTCCATTCCTAACAGCATGGTATGCTAGAATGAAAATAAATAGCCTTTGGGGTCAACCAGGCCTACGTTAAAATTGCAAGTGTACTGCTTACTGGTTTTTAAACTTAACCTTGAACAATGCCTCCAACCTTGGCTTTCTCATCTATATCCTGAATATTTAAGTACTCCATTTATATTAGCCCTTTTTCTTTGCACCTCTCTGCCCTGTTCTCATTAACCAGCAGACTGGGACTTATCTGTGCCTACCCACTCTGTTCACACAGAGACTCTGGACTACGCGGCCAGAATTCCCTAAACTCATGACTGTAGAGTTGGAATGGACCCTTCAATGGGTTTCTAAGGCTGTAAATTGCATGGGAAGAGACTGCCCATTTTTTTCTTGAGTAGCTGATGGTAGATTCAAATCCCCAGAGGTGTGGCTTTGGGGCTGACAGCACAAGCCCCCATACAGTGTGTCACCAGAGCTCTGGGGGTCTTTACCATGCTGCTTCCCAGAGCCCTGCTGCTGCAGTGCTGCCACTGCACTCAATGCTTAGTCTGGACCAGGATTAAGAGTACACTGTTCTGCTACTCAGAACTATTCTTGGATAGCTGGTTCCTCTTCCTTAACTCCTGTCATCTTAACAGCTTTGGGTATTTATTCCCATTTGGGGCCTTATTCGCTCCCATCATGCCTTAGAACAACTCAACTCAACTCATTGCTACAGAATTTGAAGTAACTCCCAGCTATCCTTCCAGCTGATTTTCAGAGGCTGTAAGCTACACAGGAGGAAACAGCTCATCTGGTGGATTATAACTGTTGGAGAGGCACCACCATCAACTCCCTATGAACCTTACCACCAGAGAGTGGCACATACTTAAGAGAGAGCCAGCTACTGAGCATTCCTCTAACCCTGGTGACCCCAAAAGGATCTAGTGATCTCGGGCTACTCCTCCCTCTTTCCTGTATATGAACCCTGACTTTTCTACAGACTGCAGAGCAGTGGTGCAGGCTCCTCTGAGGATGTGGAAACTCATTCCTAAATACACAGTCTGCCAGGGCAGTGTGCAGCAAAGAGAGTCTAAAATGGCATCAGTAGTTTAGAAGAACACTTCCTAAAGCATGCGCTGAGGTATGTTAATGAGGGTTGCCCAGGGAGGGAAAGGCATCTTGATGGTTAATAACTGCCAGATCTTTTAATATGTTATTAGCTGCTGTCAATCTTTAAGCCTCTGGGGCATATCTCAAACTCATTTGACCATGGAACACCTTTCCCCCTTCAAGTCCAACAAAGGATTAAGGCTGTAGAAAACACTTTGGAAAATGTTGTTTAGTTATACTCTCACCTAGTCCCTAGCCCTTCAATGGAGTGGAAGAAGGGGTGGGGGACACTTCAGTTTAAAAACATCACCTTCTACTAGGGGTTTATTCAGCAGTTATAATCCCAGTTGGACAAAATAGCATCATGTCAGGTTATTAGCTATTATTTATATTAACAAAAGAATGGAAATAAGAAACCATCGACAAGAAATGGATTAAAAAATTTTTCTTATGTACATATATTCACATCCTAAGCAGTATGTTATGAGAATTAAATGTAAACACATGTTGACATTTTTGGAAAGAATGCTATCAGAGCTTTTAGGCAGACACAGAAATACCAACAAGATCTGTATTGACTGAACTAAAACAACCTCCAAACACACTAAGTGATGAAACAGAAGCAAGGCACTGAGTAGTGTGCACCGGCTTGCAGCCATTTGGGTTAAGAATGTGGTTGTTGTTGTTGTTGTTATGTGCTGTCGAGTCGTTTCCGACTCATAGCGACCCTATGCACAACAGCCCTAAACCCTGCTCTATCCTGCGCCAACCGCACTGCCTCTGACACACCCATCCCGATTACCCCAGTCACTGAATCGATCCATCTCATAGAGGGTCTTTCCCTCCTGCGCCGTCCCTCCACCCTCCCAAGCATGATGTCCCTCTCCAAGGACCTGTCCCTCCTAGCAACATGTCCAAAGTATGTCAGACGAAGCCCCAGAATCCTTGCCTCCAAGGAGCAGCTTGGTTTAATCCTCTCCAAGATGAATCTGTTTGTTTTCCTGGCAGTCCATGGTACATTCAGTACCCTTCTCCAGCACCACAGCTCAAAAGCATCCACTCTCCTTCTGTCCTCCCTAGTCATTGTCCAACTCTCTGATGCATAACAAGTGATTGCAAAGACCATGGCCTGTATCAGGCGCACCTTAGTCTCCAGAGAGACACTGTTGCTCCTGAGTACCTTTGAGAGGTCCCTAACAGCAGACTTTCCCATCGCGATACGCTTTTTGATTTCCTGACTGCTGGTGCCAAGAGTGTTGACTGTGGAGCCGAGCAAACTGAAGCTGTGAACACTCTCAATCTCTTCGTCATCCATCCTGATGCTGCCAATTGGTCCAGTGGTGAGAATCTTTGTCTTCTTGACATTGAGCCTCAGTCCATACTGAAGGCTGCAGTCCTTGACCCTTCGCAGCAAGTGCATGAGGTCCTCCTCAGTTTCAGCAAGCAGGGTTGTGTCATCTGCATAACGCAGATTGTTAATAGATCTTCCACCAATCCTGATGCCACAATTCTCCTCATAGAGCCCAGCCTCCCGGATAATCTGCTCTGCATACATGTTGAAAAGGTATGGAGACAGGATGCATCCCTGGCGTACACCCTTCCCAATTTTGAATCATGCAGTGTTACCCTGTTCTGTTCTGAATACTGCCTCTTGATCCAAGTACAGGTTTCGCATTAGCACGATTAAATGTTCTGGGATTCCCATTCTTCTCAGAGTCAGCCACAGTTTGTTATGATCCACACAGTCAAATGCCTTTGCATAATCAATGAAACACAGATAGACATTCTTCTGGTATTCTCTGCTTTCAGCCAAGATCCATCTGACATCAGCAACAATATCCCTAGTACCACGACCCCTTCTAAACTCAGCCTGGACTTCCGGCATTTCTCTGCTGATGTGCTGTTCTAATCGTTTTTGGATGATCTTCAGTAGAATCTTGCTTGCATGTGAAATCAATGACACTGTTCTGTAGTTTCCACACTCTGTTGGGTCACCTTTCTTTGGAATGGGAACAAATATAGATCTCTTCCAGTCAGTTGATAATACATACATATTTCCTGATAACAGTGGTTGCCTCCAGGAAGGAGAACTCGTTGAGTGGGGGACAGGGCCAGAAGGACACTTTGTAGTTTATCGTCATGTACTTTTTTAACTTGAAACCACTGCAATGTTGTTAACCTTGCAAAAACTAAGCAAATGACTTTTAAAAAAAAAAAAAGAAAAAGAAAAAGACCTTCTACCCTAGAACTAAAGGGAAGCATTTTTCATTTCAAGATAACCAAGGCAGGGAGTGACAGCACTGAGTCAGAACAACCAGAAATAAGACTCATGAGAAGCTCAACATGTCACGCTTCCCTCCCCAAAAGCCTCTCTTTACAGTGCCTGTGAGAGGCAGCCAGCAGCTAAGAGAAGAATATAGATTCTATTATCTTCCTAACAACCCCGCCCACCAGCTGACAGTGTTACCTCAAAAAGACTTTCGAGTAAAATGTCTTCTTTTTACCTTTATCCCCTGTAAGTTCCTCGTTTCTTGTTTACATTTCAGCAGCTCCTTCTGTAAGTCAAATATAGTTAGATCAGATGGTACCATCTGGGCAGCTTCAGAAACATTACCTCATTCTGACTGTAAGAGGACAATACCCAGGTCATCATTCCATGAAAAATTACCCACCTAGAAGGGACAGAAGTAGGTATGGTCCAGAAATTGGTAAAGAGGCAGAAAAAACAGCAGGGCCCACTTCTTTGTTCCCTGAGACACCTAGACTGAACTACACCAGGGCAGGAAGAGTTGTGGCAAGAAAGGAGATGTCACACATCCCCGGAGACTCTGTTCCCCATATCCAGCAATCTTTACTGAGGAAAATCTATTCATCATTTAAATCCCTCTTGCTAAAATACAAGCTTAATATATTATAAATTCCAATACCATTAAACAATTAACTCCATTTTTAAAGTGCAGTAAAGGGTCAGAGTGCTTTTGATTTCTCTAGAGGGTTTTGTTCTTTATGGAACAAGGAAAAGCACATTTAGTGTCATCATTAAAGAGTACTTCACTTTCTTAAAGATTAAATATATGAAATATTATTTTCACTAGGAAAGAGATGTCAGAGGGGAACATCTGCCCAAGTAGGGTAGCAGTCAGGCCAAGAGGCCAAGTGCCAGAGCTGAACCTGCCTGTGAGCCAGCTGAGAAGAGACTCTGGAGGAATGCAGAGTGTCCTGAGTATTCCTGAGCCTGAACTGTGGCATGCCTCTTCCCTAACAAACTCTATGAGTTCTGTATGGCCACTGCAACAAATTAATTACCTCAGCAGAGAAGGTCTTTTCAGTCACTTGCTATACATCTGAGAGCTGGACACTGACTAAAGATGACAGAAGAATTGATGCCTTTGAGGCTGTTGTGTTGGAAAAGAGCACTGAATATCAAACAAGTATGTCTTGGAGAAAGCACAGGCAGAGTGCTCCTTGGAAACTTCATCCTGTATGCTTTGAGCATATTGTTAGGAGAAGGACATCATGCTTGGGAAGGTGGAGGGAAGGTGAGGGAGAGGCAGACACTCCACCAGGTGGATTGACACAAGAGACTGCAACAATGGGCTTGAGGGTGTTGCAGATTGTGAGGATGGCACAGGGTAGGACAGGGTTCAGGTTGGTTGATCATAGAGTCACTGTGAGTCGTACTTGACTTGATGGCACCTAACAACAATAACAACCAGCACAGAAGCACAGACTACAACAGGAAAGAACTGGTGTCAGAATTGGCAAAAAGGTTGGGAGACCAGAGCATGTCTGTCCTCTGTTCCATTAGGACTCAACCTTGGGCTTTTGATCTTCTTTCCTCTTTGTGACATCAGAGGGGTTTACCTTACTACGCCATTTTTACAGAAAGAAACAACTGAAGTCCTAACTCTTGTCCACTATTCCCATTACTTTCTTGAAATTGGTGTAATACTCTCACAATATTTTTCAAACTATAAAATATGCATGTCCCGACATACCTTTAGGTCCTGATTCTCTTCCATACTCTGATCCAGGCGACTTTGGATAATAATCTGAGTTAAAACAAAGAGATGGGTATGTACTATATATTGTCGAGTTCAATGGCCATTTACTCAGCAAATATTTACCGTAGCCTGTGATGCCAGGCTCTCTACTGTGGACACAAAGCAAAACAAGAAACAGTCCTGCCCTCTGTTAGAAGTCTGTGCTTGGTATTCTGCATACTGTATATCAGCATAGATAAAGTACATTAATGTAGACAAAACTAAGAATGAGTGTGTGTGTCCTGGGCTCAGAGGTCAGTGAGGGGAAGGAGAAATGGCAGAGATAAAGTTGGAGAGAAAAAACAAGACGCTAAATCATATCATGAAAGGCCAGTGATGGCAAGGGGAACCAATGAATGTTTAACACAAAAGGACAGAAAGCGAAATTTGCCTTTAAGGTAAATTATTCTTGAGGCTTTATTTTATAAATGGTTTAGAGGATGTCAGGAAAATCAGAAGGCCTTTGGAGTACTGGATGACGGCTTGAATTAAGGTAGTAGTTAAGAGATTAGAGAAAACCAGATGTTAGAAAGATATTAAAATTTAAAAAAGATATTAAAATCTAAACAATAAAACCTGGTGATTGGCTAGAAGTAGAAGAAAAGAAATTGGAGAATGATGCTAGATTTCTGTTTGAGGGATTCAGAAAGATGACAGTGATAAATGTAGAACATAAAAAAGGTAAGTCATTTCAGTGGGAGTGGGAGGGGAGAGGAAAGTTTCATTTAGCACACACTGAAATTGAGGTGCTTGCAGGGCATTAAGTGGAGATAATTAACAAGAGATTGCATGTTGCACATATAAATCTAGAACTCCACAGGGAGAGCTGAGCTGGAAATAAATATTTGAGAGGCAACATCTGAGGCAGGTGGGAAATGAGTGAAAACATAATTTCCCAGATGATCACCTAAGACAGCAGTGAGCCCAGGGTGGAGCAGGGAGGGGAAAGCGGAAGAGAAACTTTCAGAAGAGACGTGAACACGAACTCCACGAGGGCAGGGACTTCAGGTCTGTTCTACTCATGGCCAAGCACCTTGAAGGACTTCTTGGCATCACTATTTATTAACTGAATGAGTGCAATTGATCCTAAAAAACCAGGACAGCTGCGGTGAGGAAGAAAAGACATTTAATTTCAACAGGGTGAAATGCTTAGAAATCAAATGCATCAGCCAGATTTCTTAGTTCATGCACCACAGAGGGAGCTCACCAGTTGTTCCTCAGGATTGCCTCCTGGTTCACAGAGAGCCAAGGGCCTGTCTCGTTCGTCTTCAGGTAAGGATCCATTGAGAAGTAAGGCCTGGATAACCAAAAAAGTAGAATGAAACTTAACTCCCTCCCAGATGGCTTGGCTCTGACAATGTTTCATTTAATATCTAAGCCCTGTGAGCTTGGGAAACATTGAAAGGTCAAGAAATCCTCCTACTTACCTGCTTCCGTGTTCTACAAAGTGGCTTCCTGCAAACAGCTACTCTTCCTCAGAAGATTTAAATAAGACTCACAGGTGCCCTCTTGTTTACCCATGACAAGGTAAACACAGACCCTCCAAACTCTGCTTCATAAAGGATTAACTCAACTGCTTATCCCCACTGGCCAATCAAAAAGCACCCTAGCCATACTGGTTAAGCTTCCCTCCTTCTTCCACGCCTCTGAACATTAGCCTACCCTCAGCTGGAGCCAGCATGTACCTCCTCCTGAAAGGCCCCTTCAGAAAAGAGGCTGGCTGCTGTAAATAATATTCTCATCTACTATCTATCTGATCACAATACCCTTTCATCCCACTTCCCTGTACTGGTTCCTTCTAGCTGTATCTACTCCTCTCTCTAAAAGAAAAAACCCTTCTTTGCCTAACTCTTGAGATGTTCCCTGTGGTAACTGCCCCTTTCTTCTTCTGAATAAAGAGTCTCTCTTTTATTAGGTCTGGTTTTGTTTTCCATTTGACGGCTCAGAGGTGTGTGGAGCTCTTTTCAGGCTGAAATCACAATCCAGCGTCTTCTAGAAATCTGGATAATCGGACTGGTGGGTTACAGGATGTTGATGTAAAGAGAACGATGAGAAGTGTCAAGTAGGACGGCTAGGTTTCTGTTTCTGACATTTACCTAGAGAGACAAGGGCACTCAACACAGAAGGGACAAGAAGTTGGGGTGGTGGATGAAGTCAGAAAAAGTGATTCAGAAACCTCGACTGCTTGATTGGGGTCCCTGGGTGGTACACCATCAATTGCTAAAGAAAAGGTTGGAGATTTCAGTCTACCCATAGGAATTTTTAAAAACAGACTTGTGGAACCAAGAGTACTGTTCAACTCTGACACACACACGGGGTCTCCATGAGATTCGGTGGCAACTAGTACTGATCCTTCTTTATAAAATTCTTTGGTCTCAGTTGATTGCAACTATACTCATACTCTATATTGCTGCTGTTGTCACACCCTATGTTGCTTCTGTTGCGTGCTGTTGAGTCAGAACCAACTTGTAGCTGACCCTCCAGTGGGTTTTCAGAGGCAGTTAATGGCCCAAGAGGAAAGAGTGCCCATCCTTCTCCTGTGGAGCAGCGGTTGGATTCAAACCAAGTGCCTCTGGGACTGCAGCACAGGCTCTCATCACTAGACCACCAGAGCTCCCTAAAAGGTTTGCAAGCCTGCAATTTGTAGAGGTAGACGGCCTCGTCTCATGGAGTTCAGATTATGGACCTTTTGGCTAGCAGCTGAGCACTTAACCACTGCATCACCAGAGCTCCTTCTGGTACTACTCAAACGCCTCTAATTACTAATCTTGGGATCATCTGGAGTTCCTTTGATCTGGCCATTCAGCTAGGCCTCATCCATCTTTCAGGACTTCAAAGTCCCTCAGACACCTGAAAACAAACCTTTCTTTCAGAAGCAACAGAACACATTTCAATCTAGAGCTGCTCAGACTGAATTTTATCAGCTGAAGCATGAACTCAAGGCAGTGTGATATTACCAAGGCTTGGAAAGTTTACTCTAATGAATTAGAACACCAGTGACTTCGGTTTGTTTGATTTGTGTTTTAATAGCTGTGCCTTTCTAGGCATCCTGGATAGAAGAAGGGAAATACAGAGACGTCCTCATTCATTTCAAATCCCCACATTGGGTTTTGTTTTTCTTAGAACATCAACAGACTGAAAAAAACAAACCAAATTAAGTACCACTGAGTCAATTCGAACTCAGGTTTCTGATGCTCAACTTCCAATGGAGCAGATGGTGGATTTGAACTACTGACCTTTCCATGAGCCGCACAACATTTAACAAACTACGCCAAACGGGCTCACTAGCAAGCTGAAGAGAGCACTGATTTATGTGAAGCTTAAGAAGCTCAAGCTTCAAAGGCCCTGTCCTGGTTCTCATCCCTTCCTCCACTCTGTACCCCAGTATTCAGAATTTTGTTCAGAATTTTGTCAGAATTTTATTCCCAATTACAAAATGGCTCTTGCACAGGGTCACTTGGAAGAAAGATGCTCTTATGCTCTTCTCCATTAAATAACGAAGATGACAGCTGAGTCGCAGGAATGGCAATTAAGCACTCCAATTGTAGTTCTGGAGTAGGAAGGTTATGTTTACAAGGTGGGTGTTACCAATTAATGGAAGAGTCTCCTTTTCATGAAAAGGCAATAAAATGAAATGGAATGCGGTGAAGGGGTGACTGTTCCAAAACCAGTTTCAAAAGTGTTCTCTAGGCATAGTCTTTTGGTTGTTCTATTTTTAGGGTTTAACCCTCTTTTAAACTGGTGTGACCTGGGAAGTCAGCACATACTAAAATAATTACATATTAATGGCAAGAAGATGTCATTTTCTAATTTGGATGGATCCTTATAGCATTTTTTTTTAAAAAGAAAACAGTTGTGTTCACACAGATTGCTGAATCTATTTCTCACAATTTGTTAATAAGTTACTATTATATACAAAGATTCAATAGTTTTAGGGTTACTATAAAAGGAGGTCTGCATTTTAAATATTAATGAAAGGCATGTACTTATGTCTATATATAATTATTGTAAAAAGAGTGATGAAATAAATAATATAAATACTGGGTTTGAACACTCATTTAAAAAGAGCAGTTCCCCCCATATTATAAGGTTTACAAAATTCAGATCTGCCTTTGTGGGTCCAAATTATGAGACCTAACAGTTCAGTGAAAGAATTTAAAAAAATGTCTCTCCATTTAATACCATAGTTTTGTTACAATTCAATAAAAATCTTCTTTGATTGAATAGTAACAAAATCATGGTCCATTTCAACAAACGTAACATAAATTACATCACAAATGTTAGTAGAAAAAGGTCCCTTTTTTCAGTCCAGCCAATGGTTGATCCACTAACAGAAAATGATTAAAAAAAATGTCATAAACCAACTCTGTGTAACCCATGGGGCCAAAGTAAGGAGTACAGAGAGCTAAAGGAGAGCAGCGGAGAGCAGCATTATGGAAATATCAACACCGCTGGCAAATTGCTCACCGGAATCCAAGTAAGGCATATTAATAAGTCAGAAATCTTGGATGTGGTTTAGCATGCAACCTGTTCATCAATGAAAGAGTTCAGAAGCCCAGAGGGTGCTGTGAGTCCTTTTGTATTCTACAATGGAACTAAATTTTCATTGTGATCATGTGGCTCTGAATTAGAATGCCTCTGTTTGCAGGGAATATTAGGATGCTGACTTTCTGCCTCACAATTCTTTTTCTGTGTAATCTACCATCGCCTTTCTCTCAGACTGAGAAATGCAAACTGAGTTGAGAGCCAAACTGATGGCTATCTGTGTCCATATAATGTAAATGATCCTGGGAAAGGCTAAATATAAGACTAAAGTGCTCCAATTAAATTAAAACACAGCATTAAAAAACCATCCCATAATGGATTCTGAGAAAGGGGATCTAAATTGCCCCACAAGATTGTCTTTAAAATACCAAACAAATGGAAAATCAACTCTCCTAGGGAATGTTTAGGCAGTAAACATTCCTCCAGCCCTTCTCAGTTCCTGGGGCATACATTATGCAAATTATTTTACCAGGCACCAATCTCCTTCTTTCTTTAGGAGCCCTTTGTGTCCCCACCCTGTAGCTGGCTGGCTGGGAGCACGCCCTCCACCGCCTGCCGGCTGCCAGAGCCACACACATAATGTAGGCTTTGTTTATGTCTCTATAAATATTTGACAATTCAGAAGCAGTGCAGTTCCCAGTACAAAGAGAAAGGAATATTCCTTGGTAATTTCGGGGTCATCAGCCACAAGCGCACCATCCAGAAGAGGGACAGACAGACAGAGAGGGTTTGAGGAGATCTTTCAGAGTGGGAACTATGTCAAGTGGGTCAGCCCTTTTCTGGGGGAGAATGGCCACACTGGCGCTGCACACAGAACAACTGAAGGGCTTTGTTGGTCAAAGAAAACCTCTTCTACCTGATCCGTATTTCTTGGCATTCACTTGCAAATGCATTAAGTGTGAACTAGGTCCCTTAGCTAGACTCAAATGGAAACCTGGTAATGTTACTACTAGCTCATACTCCATTCCCGCTGGAGAATTCCTAGGAGAAAAATCCCAGACTATTCAGAGTACCACTCTAAACTGAAAGCTGCCATTGCAGGTTAGTAGCAGTGTGTAAGAGAGAAACCCACAGGTGAAGTCGAAAGCCAGAACAAGGGCTCGGGAAAGATCGAAAATGCTCCTAGGCTTGCTAAAATCCTAACAGCTGTGCAATAAACACGAGTCCATAAATGCTTTTTAGGAGTCCTCACATATAAGGAACTCCTTTATCTAAACTCTTCCAACTCTGTGTAGAAAATGAAAATCTGTTTCTTTCCCTTCGATGCTAGTAGCTTAAATATAATAAATCAGTGCACCAGGACAAACCACAGGGGGAAGAGCTACCTGGAGTCCTGTTATCATTTTCTTTGCTTCTTCCATTTCTTTCTCTAAATGCTCTTGTTGTTCCAGCAGCTGTTCTTCCCAAGCAGTCTCCAGGTAGGTTCCTGGGCTCACTGGTCGCCAGTCTCGGGACACTGGAGAATCTATCTCCTCTGTAAGGTGACAGGAGGGAGTAGAGTTCATGTTGTTGAAAACTGAATTTCCGGCAGACAGCCTACACAGGTTCAGGTCACCTGCCTTCTGAACCTATCCTCATGACACAAAATGGACTCTCCACCAGGTGGGGTTGTGAGGCAGAAAGAGCTGGCTGTGAACTCCAGGCTCGCAGAAACTCCAGTTACTGTCTGCTGGGGAAATCTCTTCTCTTTAGAACCCTTAGGAAGCAGTAAAACTTCCTCCTGGGAGTCTTTCTATGGGGCATATAGATTTTACTCTTAATCGTTGAGAACTGAGATTCCCAGGGCCTGTTTCTACCAGGTACAAAGAAAGGAGCTATCACTTCAAATGCAGAGAAAACAAAATTCCTCTGGTGGTCTAGTGGTAAGAAGCTGCAGTCCCAAAGGCATGCACATGTGCGTTCAAATCCACCAGCTGCTCCTCAGCTGAAAAATGGCCCATCTCCTCCCATGCCACTTACAGCCTCTGAAAATCCTCAGGAGAGTCAGCTATGAGTTCCAACTCAACAGCACATAACAACAACACTATTATTGCTCTGGAAACGAAGAAAAGCCTTGCTTCAATACTTCTTTGACCATTCAGTCCTAGCAATGGAACTGCTTTCACACATAACAATGTATGAATCATTCAGGAAACAAACCATTAAAAGCATACTTGCACGAGTCATTTAATAACTCCCGCTGGTTTTGTTTTTCTACCCTTGTGGTCTCTTTGCTCCAGTTTCTGTATCCATTTGATCCTATCTAATTCAGGTACAGCCATTCCAAATATTCTCTGGCTTATAGCAGGATAAATTTCTCTGAATGTTTCTTCATTCATAAAACAAGTACTGTCCTTCTGGGTAACTTGAGTACAGGGCTAGTGGTACAGGGCACAAAGCAGGGTACTTTGTTAAACGTTCTCCGTCTACCTCCCCAGGGTTCTGGGGATTTTGGTCTCATATCATGACTCTCTGGGACCAATGCTGGAGAAGGGAGTGCAACATGAGGAAGAACTGCGTTCCTCTTCTGAGGGCTTTAGATTCTTTTTACCCTATGTGGTTGAATAAGACTTTATCTAAATCATATGCTTTGCTTCCTCCATGAAGCCCTCATGTTTATATAGCAAATAGGAGAGCTAGTGAAATAGAATGAGATGCCAAAGGCACTCTTGTGGTACAACAGTTAAGCACTAACTTGGCAGCTACTTGAAAGGCACGAAGTTTCAATCTATTCATTGGCTCCCATAAAGATTACCGCTTAGGAAACAGCTGTCACATGGGATCATTAAGAGTCAAAATCATCTTGATGGCACCTAACAACAATAAGAAGTCTAAATAGAAGGAATTTGTTATTGTCCTTTAGGGCTAGCACTCACACCAGGCTTGAGGGAGAATGATATTCTCCCTCATGTATTCATGGACACCTCATTTCTGGCTCCAAATTATCTTGTGATTGATTGTTTGTGGGTTTGGGGGTTTTTTTGTGTATGTACCGTCGAATCAGATCTGACTGGTACAGGAGGTGATTGCCCTTCCTTCTCCAGCAGAGCATCTGGTGGATTTGAACCGTGAGCCTTTGGGATTGCAGTGCAGCTTTTTGCCACTAGGCCACCAGAGCTCCACCCAAATGGTAAAAATCATTTCTCTAAATAAGGCTTCTGACTATCCCAAAGTAATTTCTTAAGCTATAGGAAGCCAGCCGAGGAAGGGCCTATCTATACTGCTGCAACATTTTTGATAGCTGGGACAAAAGAAGTGACATCCTTCCTATAAGAGGACATTCTAAGAGAACAGCCATTAATGTGCCTCAAAAACCCTTTAGAGGTGAGCCTGCACGTATAGACCACAGAGAGAAGGAAGGAAAGTCAGGACAGTCAGGAATCCCAAACTCTTCAGTCTAAGGTCTATCCCCCAAGTGTCCTCCCACAGGCTGATATACAGTACCTGTTCTATTCTCTATTCCTTCTGAAGGGATAACCACAAAATCCACCTTCTCCTCCGACTGGGTTATAATAGATTCACTTTTTGCACTGTGGATTGGACTGGGTGAAGTCAGACTGTGATAGAAGGAAAGGGGGAGGGGGTTGGAAATAATTATTGTGACCAGCTATTCAGAAACTTACTTTCATCATTGATCCCAGATACACATTCATCTTACTCCTAAAGCCTGGTCCACAATAAGAACACAGTATCTGGTCCACAATTAGAACAAGTATTTGTTGAGTGAGTAAGTAGTGAACTTCTTGGAGGAAGGCTAAATAATTAAGGAAAAATTCCATCATCATCAGAATGGATAATCTAGCATTTAATAAAACTCAAATTTTACACACTGACAAAGGAGATTAATCAGAACTGGCTTTGACAAGCACTGTGGCAATTGGACAATTAAAACAGACATTCGGGGGGGGAAGAAGAATGAACTGGGGAGGAGGATAGAGAAAACAGTGCAACAATGAATGAATGAAAACCCAAAATCTCTGTAAATATTCATTAAAACTAATAAAATTTAATAATAATTTAAAAAATATAAAAAAATTGGACTAATAAACAACATCTTGGTAAATGGAAAAGAAAAAAAAAACCTCAAATTTTGCTTTTATTTTTTTAACCTTCCACCACTTCCCCATCACCATCCCTGGTTCCAATTCAATGACTAATAAGTAGATTTGGGTAACTGGAAAGAAATTCTTCATTTATGTGTATATATGTACATATAGGAGCTTTGGTGGTCTAGTGGGTAAGGAGTTGTGCTTCCAACCCAAAAGCACACAGTTCAAACCCACCAGCTACTTCTTGAGAGCTAATTGAGCAAGCTCCTCTCATCTGGTTACAGCCTCTGAAAACCCACAGGAGGGTCAGCTATGAGTCCATTCTGACTCAGTAGCATATAACACAAGCCCCACATAGCCACTGAGTTAAAATGACTCACAGGTGACCCTCCAGCAAGTTTCGGAGGCTGTAAATCTCTTGGGAGGAGCCTGTCCATCTTTCTCCTGTAGAGCAGCTGGTGGATTCAAACTGCGTGTTTTTGGATTGGCAGTCCTGCTTCTTATGCACTAGGTCACCAGAGTGAAGAAAAGAGAGAACACTCCAAAAGTGCTGCTGGAAGGTGGCAGAGTAAAACAAACAAACAAAAAAGTAACTGGCATTTTCTTTATTTACTCCTCTCAGAGCTATTTGAGCTCTGGTGGCCTACTGGCAAGAATCTGTGCTGCAATCCTGAAGGCACACAGTTTGAGGCCACCAGCCGCTCTGCGGGAGAAGGATGAACAATCTCCTCCCATGTGATTAACTGCCTCTAAAAAACCCGCTGGAGGGTCAGCTATGGGTCAGTTCTGATTCGACGGTACACAACAACAACAGAGCTATTTGTATTGATATGTCATTAGAAATAATCTGAACAATTGTCATGTTCTAACCCCTTAGAAGGAACTGTTTGCTTTTCAAGAACACAAATCTTCAGGATGACAGCAAGTCTCTACGTCAGGATGAGAATGTGGGGCTGACACAGCCATGTGACAGGGAAACAGAGTCTGTCTGGAGAGTCACTCTTCATTGTATCGCACCTTGAGAACATAAGCGCTGAAACAATCTCAGGGGCTGTGGGGTCTGCAGGCCCAGCCCTCTCTCAGGAATTCTTTCCAAATCCATCACCCAGACAACAGTGAAAGTGTCTAGGATTCACTGACCCACTTAATGTGGCCCTGAAGTCTCCCAGGCTGATGGCACAGCCACCTCAATCAGAGCTAAGATTTCGTCTTCCTGGAAACCAGGAATACCAGAGCCGAGCATAGTAGAGTTAGCCAGAGTGATCCTAAAAACTTGGAAACTGCCGAAGGCCCAGCATTTCATTTTCTTGGCTGCTTTAGGGCTTTGATGGGGAGAACTTCAACCAGTAACACTCTCTTCCTTAATTGAACAACAGGATTTTTTTAAACATTTCTTTTTGTCTTTAAAAGAAAACAAACAAAAAATCATGTAACCATCTCTATATGTTTATTTCCTACACTGACAAGAAAGATTTTTCAGAAAGGGCGACAGCTTTATGGAGCTCTCTTAGCCACCTCTCACTAAGGCAGTCTGCTCCCAAGCCAAGTCAGTTTCTAGAAAAGCATCAGTTGGAAGGTGGTGTTAGATGTTGTCAAGTCAGCTTGGGCCCACAGTGACAATGGAATGAAATACTGCCCGGTCCCATGCTAGCCTCACAATGGACTAACATGCTTTGAGGGCAGTGTTGTAGCCAGCATGTCAACCCATCATGTTAAAGATTTTCTTCTTTTTCCCTGACACTCTACCAAGCACGCTTCTCCAGGGATGATCCTTCCTGATAGCATATCCAAATCACATGAGACAAGTCTTGCTATCCTTGTTTCTGTGGAGGATTCTGGCTGCTTTTCTTCCAAGGCAGATTGGTTCTTTTGGAATATACCTTCATGGTATACTACATATTCCTCACCAGCACCATAATTCAAAAGCATCAACTCTTTTCTGTAGTTTTCGTTATTCATTGCCCAGCTTTTATGTGGATATGAGGCTACTGAAGATACCTTGGCTTGTGTTATACACACCTTAGGTCTAAGGGTGCTGTGACATTTATATGCAGAACAGATTTATAACTGCTCAGGCAGTGAGCCTGTCTTCTTTCAGAAATGGAGATTCAAATGCAGAAGAGGCCTGCCAACAGCTGCTCCTCTTTAAAGAACAAAACAGCACTTTCTCACATGACAAGGTGCTATGTATGACATGTTCCACTGCCTGCTTTTGGCTGGACCATTGTGGGCATGTGTGAGACAAACAAGGTGGGGGTAGGGATAGGGGTGGGGGTGGTGATAGTGTGAGTCTAGGATGCTGGAAGACTGTTTTCCTAACAGCAAAGCTCTATTTCCACAGACGCATGCCCAGTTCCACCTTCTCCGGGAACTGTTTCCCATATAAGGGCAAAAGGAGGCGGATGTCTGGGTATCCAACCCCGCTGGGGGAGTGGCTGAGGAGGCAGAGGAAAACAACATTTCTTTTTTTCTTTAGTTGAGGCTGCCTGTCTAAGAAGCTGCAGAGAGGTAAGACCATGAGACTAGAAGGCCAAGTCAAAAAAGAAGCCACCTGAGAAAGAAAAACTCTCAGGCATATTGTGAGAGCAGAGACCTGCCTGCCATCCCCACTGGCAACTCAGGGATGAGCAAGGAGCCTTAACCCTGAGCCTCCAGTCAAAGGAACAGACTTTCATGCTAATTAATTATAAGGCTTAGACTCTTCTCTGATTAGCTTAAAGGCTCTATTTTATAAACAAGTAATCAATCCCCTACTTGTCATGTTAATCTTCTCTGGGCTCAAACAATGATTGATCTCAAATCTGGTCACACTGGTCTATTTTCTACTCCTACAGGTTTAACATCTCTCCAATCTTAATTTAGCACACAGTCCTCCAGCAAAGTCTCCCAAATGAGCCTCAAGCCATCTTCTAGTGGGTAATGTGCAATCAGGAAGAGAATCCTGCCCTCTGGAAAGACCCCTCCCTTACCTGAGACTCTGACAGGGCAAAAAGCCATTCCTCCTTCCCTGCGCAGACTCCCGACCCCGACCCCGACCCCCAACAGCATGTAACAGCGGCATCCATGGACACCAAGCAGCCAGTGCTCTCCAATGTACTGTCCACACCCAGCCCCGTCTGGTTTTGGCCAGCAGCACCACATGGCTATGGCCCTGCTCCCACCCATGCCCCCCTCTCCAAACCCGAAGTGGCCTCAGCTCACCATTTGACTTGCGTCCCTCCCATGGTCCCCCTCTTGGCTCCGACTTCAGCAAGCCTGCTTCCCCGGGTGAAGTGGCAAGCTCAGAGTCACATTGCTCCCAAATTCGGGCATGTCTGCCCATGCGGGGGCCAGAGGAGAGACTCCGTGGGCAAGCTAACTACCAGAGCTGCTGGCTCCAGTCGCGGGAAAATGTGGGCAGGATGGAGCCCCAGCCCTCGGGGCTGCGGTGGTGGGGATGCTCCCGCGTCTGACGCGCGTTGTCCCGGCTGCTCAGGCTCTGCAGCAGCCCGGCCTCGGCGGAAGCTGCCTCCTCTGGCGAGCTGCGGGTCCCTGACAGCTGCATCCTGGTCTGTTCGGTTGTGCAGCTCCGAGCATCGCCCCAGGTGGAGACATCTCAACCCATCTCCAAGCTGGAGAATTGGCCTTGGCAGCGTGAAGTGTTGGCGGAGAGCAGAGCGTGCGGATAATCCTCTATCAGAGGCCGCCTCCCCCCTCCGCCCCTCGTCTCCACCCCCTCCTTTCCCGGCTGTCACACGCTGCGAGGAGAGGCTGGGCTCCGGGCAAGGTAAAGGGGGGACAGGGCAGGACCAGGGGGTGAGGGTAGGGAGCACACCAGGAGGGGTTTGGAGGCCCCCTGCTTCTTAGAACCACAGCTGGAAATGCGGCTTTCTTTAATCCAGTCCCTCCCTTGACACACACAGAGTTCGAAGCCCAGTGAGGCTTCAGGGTCTCACGATGGTGCGGGGAGACTGGCGGGTGGAGATTGGGGGTTTCCTCTTGAAGCCTGCCTAACGCTTATCTCCTCCCATCTTCCTCTCCTTTTCAAGGTTGCTTTTGTTTTTTTAGGGGGGGGTTTGTTTGTGGGGTTTTTTTTTTGTTGTTGTTGTTGACTTCAGCAATCACCCCCCCACCCCAATGCCCTCTTCTGAGAGGCTGGAGGAAAGATTAGGAAGCAACAGGCGGTCAGGACCTGGCTGGGTTGGAGGCTCTAAAGGCAAGGGAAAGGGAATGAGATGTCAGAGCCTCTCTTTCCAATCTTCCTAGTTCTCACCTTTCCTGAGCCACATCCTGGGGCTCCTGGCCTCTTCAAGAGACATTAGGAGGGGGCTTCTTTGTGGGAGAAAAGAGATGGGGGTGCAGTAGGAAAGCCCTCTCCTTTGTTGGGGGAACCACTGAACAAAAGAGCTGAGAGAGGGGTCAGCATCAGCAGAAAATGGCAACATAATAACATAAATAAGGACTGAAAAGCAGCTCAGAGAACAAGCTATTCTTTCTTGACTCCTCTTCTGGAAAATTGTCCCCATCAGTCCACTGCCATCCAGTTTCCACATCACCTCACAATCCCCTCCCAGAATGAGCCCTGCCAGGCAGGAAGGAAGCAGGTGCTCTTGGGAAGAAATCCAGACCTTCCTCTTTCTAACTCTGGCAGGCACTATCAGGCCCAGAGGAGTGAACGGCATGCAGGAAGCAATAGCTCTCATCTATTAATCACATAAAATGAGATTATACAGACAAGTACCCTTTGATTCTGTCCCAAGTGGCAGTCAAAGCAGCGAGCAAGGAAAACACAGTTTAGATTCTCTTCACAAGCACACCTACTGCTTAATGGGCACGGGGTTTCCTTTTGGATGATGGACATGTCCTGGAGACGGGCAGAGCTGAGAGTTGCACATATGATGGATGTATGAACGTCTCTGAATTGTATACCTTTAAAACAGCTAATGTTTAATGTCATGTGAACTTCACACCAAGAAAATGTTGTTGTTATGTGCCATCGGGTCACTTGTGACTCATAGCAACCCTATGTACAACAGCTCTAAACTCTGCTCTGTCCTGTGCCAATCTCATTGCCTCTGACACACTCATCCCACCCCAGTTACCTGATCAATCCATCTCCCAGAGGGTCTTCCCCTCCTGCACCTGCCCTCCACTCTCCCAAGCATGATGTCCTTCTCCAAGGACTGGTCTCTCCTTACAACATGACCAAAGTATGTCAGACAAAGCCTCAGAATCCTTGCCTCCAAGGAGCAGCCCGGTTTAATCCTCTCCAAGATGAATCTGTTTGTTTTCTTAGCAGTCCATAGTACCCTCAGCACTCTTCTCCAACACCAAAGCTTAAAAGCAACAATTCTCCTTCTATCCTCCCTGGTCACTGTCCAGCTCTCTGACGCATAACAAGTGATTGCAAAGACCATGGCCTGTACCAGACGCACCTTAGTCTCCAGAGACACAGTGTTGCTTTTCAGTACTTTGGAGAGGTCCCTAACAACAGACTTTCCCATTGCAATACGTCTTTTAATTTCCTGGCTGCTGGTGCCAAGAGTGTTGATTGTGAAGTCAAGTGGACTAAAGCTGTGAACAATCTCAATCTCTTCACCATCCATCCTGATGCTGCCAATTGGTCCAGTGGTGAGAATCTTTGTCTTCTTGACATTGAGCCTCAATCCATATTGAAGGCTGCAGTCCCTGACCCTCAGCAGCAAGCACTTCAGGTCCTCCTCAGTTTCAGCAAGCAGGGTTGTGTCATCTCCATAACGCAGATTGTTGATAGATCTTCCACCAACTCTGATGCCGCATTTCTCCTCACAGAGCCCAGCCTCCCGGATGATCTGTTCTGCATACAGGTTGGAAGGTATGGAGATAGGACACATCCCTGGCGTACACCCTTCCCAATTTTGAACCATGCAGTGTTTCCTTGCTCTGTTCTGACGACTGCCTCTTGGTTCAAGTATAAGTTTTGCATTAGCACAATCAAGTGTTCTGGGATTCTCATTCTTTTCAGAGTCAGCCACAGTTTGTTATGGTCCACACAGTCAAACGCCTTTGCATAATCAATGAAGCACAGATAGACATTCCTCTGGTACTCCCTGCTTTCAGCCAAGATCCATCTAACATCAGCTACAATATCCCTAGTACCACGACCCCTTCTAAACCCAGCCTGGACTTCCGTCAGTTCTCTGCTGATGTGCTGTTCTAGTCGTTTTTGGATAATACATCCCCTTAAAAGCCCACCTTTTTAATGGTTAAGATTGGGCAAGGCCATATGAGAATTCCGGAAAGAATTCCATGTGACCACAATAACTTTAGAAAATGGCCCATCAAAATAGGTCAGGTTTTTTGTTTGTTGATTTGGGGCTTTTTTAGGAAAAGGAATAGGAGGAAGAAAACAAAGATACACAAAATATATATCAAACAAGGAACAATTAAGCTAGCCTTCAGAACAAACTAAGATTCACTGGAGTGGGAAACAAAAGGTTTCTCCTCATTTATCAACTCCTATTAATCTGAAATTTCACATTTATGACAATAGTAAAAAAAAAAATCTATCATCCAATTATTTTTATTTGCCTTACCAACACACATTATGTGTAATGTGTAATTCAGTAATGAATGCTGGCATATGAAGCGAAGTAACACCAGCTGGGGTAGTTGTGTGTCAGCTTGTCTAGGCCACGATTCTCAGAGGCTTGGCAGTTCTATCATGATGTAACGAGGCAGCTGTGTAATGATGTAGTCATCTTCTGGTTTTGGATTATGCCAATTTTGCCTAACAAATTGGTCTTTGGGATTTAACTGTGTTGAAATGCGAGGAGAAGATACAAAAGCATGAATTAAATATGATTCAGCAACAATATGAAGTTAATATTTTAGTATTATTTGTATAAACCAAAGAAGTAATCTTTTTCTGCCACTGTAGTTGTTATTTGTGTGTGTGTGTGTGTGTGTGTGTGTGTGTGTGTGTGTGTGTGTGAAGTTGTTACTGCTAAGGCTTTTACTAGAACACTGTATCCTATCACTGTTTTGGTCTGTCTTGGCACTTGGCTCTAAGAGATACACACTTCGCTTTCCACCAGATTAACAAACACTATTAGCCCACTCAAATGCAGACTAATTTGCCACAAATCCCAGCCCTCTAAATAAAAGCTGCAAATGGTCTAATGCTCTCAGACAATCTTCCTTCCTTTCCTCTCTTGCTGGAAGCTTTTACAACCTTCTGAAGCCATAACTCAGAGTTACACTCAGGCTCAAAGACAGCATAAGGGAACTAGATGTTTTAAGTTCTGGCAGTTCATATGCAAATGCCAGGGCAGCTGGGCTGGGCCCACACAGGCCTTAGCTGTGACCAGTCATGCCCCCGTGTGGTCACAGCTAAGCACTGGCTCGGCAGCTTTACACAAAGCTCCTACTTTGGGAAATGTGCCAGCCTCCAGCCTGCCCTCCAGTCAGCACAAAACCACCAAGCAGTGGGGAGAGCTACCTCTTTAAAGCCAAAAAAACTCAAGGACGGAGAAAGGCCGCAGGAGCCTCATAGCTTTTTGTATGGATACTTGTAGCTGTGAATCCCTAGAGATTGCACTTTTGGCTAGTAAAGAACTTTTATCAGTGTTGCAAAACTGAAGGTATATGAATGGAATACTATGCTGCATTAAAAAACAAGGAACTCATGCAATATTATTCAAAATGGTTGACTCTGGAGAACATTATGCTGAGTGAAATATCCCAGTCACAAAAGGACAAATATTACATGATGCCACTGTTGTAGAATGGGACTGTCCTTGGGGTTAGGGAGACACTGAGTAAGATGGGTTCAATAATGTATACTGCACTGAAGCAGAGGAGGGAGAGAACCGTCTAAAAGAGAGATGTAACTGGGTATTTCTGTCATCACAGGAGACTAGAGCGAGGGCTGCATGGTGGAGGGGACCTGGGGGAGGGTTTGTAAAACAATGAAAGAATCTTTTCTTTTACTTTTCCATAATTTTTGGACTCATGTACTTATAACTTGTTAGTCAAATTTGTGCCTTCTAGGTTGCAACACCCCCATGATACATCTTGAAGGATATGTACATGTACAGCCAAGCACAATCAATAAGAGTGCATCTGAATTCCAAAATCAATCTCCATAATAGTCTATGTGTTTCCTACTGCCAAAGGGGCCCTTTAGAGTAGTGAGAGAAGATCTTCACCCTGAAACCCACAGCGTCCCTTTTCAGCAGGAAGTAGCTAAGAGAATACGCCGTCCCCTTTTCCTTATGACTCAGGGTGAAGTCTCTCTCAGGGAGGAGTGATAGGGAATGGCAAAGGATACACTGACAAAGAAGATTAATCAGAACTGGCTTTGACAAGCACTGTGGCATTTGGACAAGAACAAACTGGGAGGAGGGTAGAGAGAATAGTGCAACAATGAATGAGTGGAAGCCCAAAATCTCTGTAAACGTTTATGAAAATTAATAAAATATAATTATAGGGAAAAAAAAAACAACTGAAGGTATATGAACTACTGAGTGGAAAACCAATTTGCTTTGTAAGTTTTCACTCAAATCAGAACAAGAAAAGTTCAAAATAAAATACATTTATATTTAGCTTTCCATAATGAAGAATCTGAGGCCACAATTACCTGGAGCAGCTGGATTCCGATGGGGACCGCTGCTGCCCTTCGTACTGCTGCACCAGGGCACGCACGCTCCAGTATGGGTTCTCGATCTCCTCGTCCACACTGCTGTTCCTGAGGTTAGAGGGCACCAGTAAAGGAGAGGGCTGTCAGTCCTGCAGTGCAGGCCAAGCCAATAGGTCTTTCAGTAAAGACTGCTACTCTGGGAAGTGCTATGGATGCAAAGAGGAAGAAGACAGAGCCCCTGCCTTAAAGACACTTAAAAGTTAGCGGGGACTGTCACTATACATTCCCTGTACATGTGGAGACATTTGAATTCGTATGTGCTCTGTTGTGTGTATTCTCAGCACCAACCTCATAAAAAACAAAAACAAACCCCAACCCCAGCAAACCATTACCATGGAGTCAATTCTGACTCACAGCAACTCATCAGGGCCAGAGAAGAACTACCCTATCAGGCGTCCAAGGCTGCATGTAATCTTTGCAGAAGCAGACTGACACATCTTTCTCCTGCAGAGCAGCTGGGAGTTTTGAACAGCTGACTTTCTGTTAGAGGGGAAATGCTGTTAAATGCTATGCTACCAGGGCTCCTGACAACCACAAACCAGTAAAATGAATTCAATTCTATTTTAAAACAGGGTAGGGGGGAAATCTAGTAGAGAAGATAATAAAAACCCAAGTAACTTCCTTAATTTGCAACAACCTAGAGTCATACTCTTTCCAAAGTATTTCCTGCTAGGACTCCAGGGGCGCCTGGCCTTCTGGGGACATTCCAGGGTGGAGACTCTCCCAGATGAACTGGAACACTGCCCCAAAATATGAAGTGAAGAAACACACAGCATACCAAAGGCATATATTTAAAATCCTGGGCACCAGATTAAATATATATGTGTGTGTGTGTGTGTGTGTGTGTGTGTGTGTGTGTGTGTGTGTGTATCTTCCCCACCTCCAAAATATATTCTTTTCTGTAGTCGAGAGTCTGTTCGGGTGGAATCATTTAAGAGAAACATTAGCAAGAGGGGCCTGATGCCCATCCCCAGCTTTTGACACTTACCTCTGTCTATATCGAAAGACATCACGTCCTGAGCGGGACATGTCGTGACACACATCGGCCAGAGCAGCAGCTGCCCCCTGGGCCACAGCAGTGGCACAGTGTGGTTGGTGACTCTGCAGAGGGCTGCTGGAGTCCTGCCCTTGGCTCACTGTCCTGCTGGAGCCTGGTTTAAAATGAGCTGCCAAGGCAAGCACCAGCCTCATGATGGACTTGAGGTTTCCTTCTACAATATCTGTGGGACAGAACAGACCAGGGAGGCAGGGCCTGAGGCTCACTCATTCATGTAGAATATATTTGTTGGTGATAAGCCAAGCTATCAGTGTCTCTGTCCTCACCATTCAACAACAAAAACAGAATTCAAAAACAGAATGTCTAAGAACATTTTGTAATAGGAGTTGTTGTTGTTGTTACATGCTACTAAGTAGACTATGACTCATAGCAACCCTATAAACAGGCTCTGAGCCTGGCTCTAAGCTGACCTCACCTTCTCAGACACATCTGAACCCACTGCCACACACCTGAACCCACTGTGTCAATCTATCTCATCCAGGGTGTTCCTCTCTGTCCTGACCCTCTAACCTTCCAAGCATGATGTCCTTCTCCAATGACTGGTCCCTGCTGGTGCCATGTCCAAAGAATGTTAAACAGAGCTTCAAAATTCTTGCCTCCAAAGAGTAAACTGGTTTCACTATCTGCAGGACAGTCCTATTTGTTCTTTGGGCAGTCCATAGTATGATTAATACTCTTCTCCAGCACCACAACTCAAAGGCATAAATTCCTCTTGTCATCCTTACTCATTATCCATCTCTCAGATGCATCGCAAACAACTGGGAAGACCACAACCTGAATCAGGCACATCTTAGTCTCCAAACTGACATATTTGCTTTTTTAGCACTCTGGAGAGATTCTTGACAGCAAATTTTCCCAATGCAACTTGTGTTCTGATTTCCTGACTGCTAGTACCAATAATGTTGACTGTGGATCCAAGCAAGAGGAAATCTTTAACAACCTCCTTTCTCCATCTATCATGACGCTGTCTACAGGCCTAGTGGTGAGGATCTTTGTTTTCTTGATATTATAATGCTATCCATATTGAAAGCTGCAGTCTTTGACCTTCTGCAGCAAACGCATGATGTCCTCTCAGTTTCTGCAAGCAAGGTTGTGTCCTCTGCATAACGCAGATAGTTGATGAGTCTTCCTCCAATCCTGATGTCACATTCATCATAAAGTCCAGCCTCTCAAATATCTGTTGTGCATATAGATTGAAAAGGTATGGAAACAGGATGCATCCCTGTCAGCACTTCTTTCCTGATTTTGAATCATGCAGTGTTTCCTTGCTCTGTTCAGACAACAGTTTCCTGGTCTAGATATAAGTTTCACATGAGCACAATCAGATGTTTTGGGATTCCCATTCTTCTCAATGTTGGCCACAATTTGTTGTGATCCACACAGTCAAATGCCTTTGCATAGTCAATGAAACACAGATAGACATCCCTCAAGTACTCTCTGCTTTCAGCCATGATCTATCTGCTATCAGTAATGACAGCCCTAGGATTATTTGGTAACTCAGAGCAAAGGCATCTTATCCAAATTGAAGACTCGTAGAGAGACTCCTAAAAGAACTGAGTTCTAAACTATGACTCGATTGATTAGTTCATCAGAAGATGGAAGAGAGGGAAAATAGAATTCTGGGAAGAGGGAACAGGAGGTGTGAAGATCTAGAGGTGAAAAAGAGCATGGTACATTAATGCTATCCGATATAGTATCTACTAGGCATATGGGGCTATGGGGTCTTAAAATGTGGCTTTTCCAAATGGGGAGAGAATACAGTAAAAGAAAGGCAAAATATCTCATTAGACTTACAAGAAAAAAGAAGGTGAGGTATCTTATTAATAACTTTTAAAAATTATTTTTATCTTATTTTTTTCATTAATAACTTCTTATATTGTGTCTTCGAGTTGCCTTCTTCTCTATCTACAATAGCTCTGAAGCCTGCCCTGTCCTGAACCAGTCTCACTGACTCTGACACACCAGCCCCCATTGCCTGAGTTACTGCTTCAATCCATCTCATCCGGGCTCTTCCTCTCCTGAACTGTCCCTCCACCTTTCCGAGCATGATGTCCTTCTCCAAAGATCAGTTCCTCCTGGCCACATGCGCAAAGTATGTGAGACAGAGCTTCAAAATCCTAGCTTCCAAGGAGAAACTTGGTTTCACCATCTCCAAAATACTTGTTTTCTTGGAGGTCCATTGTATGTTCAAGACTCTTCTTCAGCACAACAACTCAAAGACATCAATTAGCCTTCTTTCATCCTTAGTCATTGTCCAGCTTTCTGATGCATAGCAAGTAATTGCAAAGACCATGGCCTGGATCAGACGCATCTTAGTCTCTAGACTAACATTGTTGCTTCTCAGTCCTCTGGAGAGGTCCCTAACAATAGATTTTCCCAGTACAATTCGTCTTTTGATTTCCTGACTGCTGGTGTTGGTTGTGGAGCCGAACAAGCTGTTAACTTCAATTTCTTCTCTATCATGGTGCTGCCAATTGGCCCAGTGGTGAGAATCTTTGTCTTCTTGATGTTGAGCTTCAATCCATATTGAAGACTACAGTCCTTGACCTTCTACAGCAAATGCTTCAGGTTTTGTCATCTGCATAACATAGGTTGTTGATGAGTTTTCCTCCAATCCTGATGTCACATTCCCTCTCATAAAGCCTAGCCTCATGAATGATCTGTTTTGCATATAGACTAATGTCATACTTAAATATTTGTATACACTGAGTACAAATATATTTTAAATACATTTGTTTCATGCATGTACATTGTGTTTTATACAATCATTCATATATACTATATTTTGTATGATTAATTACTATTGATCTATGCCCATTATCACCTTATCTTTTCAAGCTACAATGAGACACAAAGTATATGAATGTTGTATGCAAACCAATACAATACGGAGGGGAAAACTACAAAACTATAGTCAATATTTAAAAGATATTAGTGTCATAATTTGCCCCCTATTTGCTATCACTGCGTACCAGCAGTCAATACTGATTCATAGTAACCCTTGTGACAGAGTTGCAATTCCCTACTGGGTTTCCTATGCTCAAGTCTTTATGGGAAGAAATTGCCTAGTCTTTTCTCCCATGGGGCTGGTGGTGGATTTGAACCATCATCCTTTCGGTTTGCAGTTAGGAACTTAATCATTGCACCACCAGTGCTCTGGGTAATGTGATTATTGGAAGCATTCATTCATTCATTCATTCATTTATTTTTTAAAATTGTGGCCTTTTGGAGTACCCTTTGACAGAGCCTATGCATGTACTGAAAATTTTTGGTAATCGTGATCTAAGAAAGCTACACACGCAACATTATAAACTTCTCTGGAGGCCTAGTGGTAAGAAGCTGTGCTGCAATTTTGAAGGCACAGGGTTCAAATCCACCAGCTGCTCCACAGGAAGATGATAGGCAATCTCCTCCCATGTGATTAACTGCCTCCTACAACCCACGGGAGGGCCAGCTATGGGTTGGTTCTGACTCGAAGGTACACAGCAACAACACAGTCAAAATAATCCCGCCAGCCCTTTGGAGATGGTGGCGAAAGTGATGAAGGAAGCTCCTCCTTACACCTCCCCGAACTGAAGCGAAAGCAAAGGTGTTAAAGACCAAGAAGGCAGTCCTGAAGGGCATCCACAGCCACAAAAAAAAGGAAGATCCTCTGGTCACCCACCTTCTGGCAGCATAAGATGCTGAGACTCTGAAGGTCTCAAGTATCCACAGAAGAGCGCCCCTGGGACCACTATGCCATCATAAAGTTCCCCCTGACCACCGAGTGAGCCAAGAAGAAGAAGAAAACAACACACTACTTTTCACTGTAGATGTCAAGGCCAACAAGCATCAAATCAAACAAGCTGTAAAGAAGCTCTATGACACTAAGGTGGCCAAAGTCAACACCTTGATTAGGCCTGATGGAGAGAAAAATGTCTATGATTGACTTGCTCCTGACTTGGATGTTGCCAAGAAAACTGGGATCATCTAAACTGAGTCCAGCTGGCTAATTATAAATGTAAATTTTTCACACACACACACACACACACACACACAGAAAGCCCCCAAAACAATGCCGCCAAAGTAGGGCAGATTCCCAATAAGCAAGGTAAGCATGACTTACTTGTGCTTACTTACCAATCTGCAATGAACAATGGGTTTCATCACAACAAAGATGGCCCATTGAGCCACTGAATCTATTATCTTTACTTCATCAAAGGCAAAGGCATTTTGAAATTACATGTCACAGCATAGTACTATAGGAACTAAGAGGTCACTGTAGCTAGAACCCAGAATATACAAGGAGCGAGTATCGGAGCAAGGAGAGACCACAGGAGAATGAACCAGAGGTCAGATCATAAAGGACATGTTAAGCCATGTGAAGGACTTTGGATTTTATCCTAAGGGCCCTCAGATACAAAGGAGTGGCGCAAGCTGAAAGGTTATCTGACTGCAGTGTTGAGACAGAAGAGGGGTAAGAAATTGACACAGCAAGATGAATTAGGAGGCTGCTGTACTTCTCCTGACAAAAGGCAATGATGTCCTGAATGGCATTGTTCTCCCAAAATAGCTGACTTTAGTGGGACAGATCCCCAAGCCCACTCACCTGGGGACCAGAGCAGAGCTATTGTGGCACTTTGAATGATGCCCTATAAAAACAGAGAGATGAAGGGAAAAAAGCAGTGTGATAGGTCTAGTGAAAGTTAATTTAAGAAAATTGGGTTTTTTAAAAAAAAGTAACAAGGCTTGGAAAAGGAGTGATCAATACCTTTCCTAGGGTACTGCCAGTGGTAGGTGCCTGTGCCACCTGAGTGATGCCAACACAGAGAATGCTAAGAATCCAACATGCAAGCAGGGCTCCCTCCTGCCTCCCTTGGCACACTCCTGGGCAATGCCCAGAAACTGAAGAAGCAGCAGCTTGGTCCTCGAAGCTCAGCTACCCAGTTTCTCCCTGATACCCTGGGCTCAAAATGGACTGGGAGGCTCATCTTCTGATGCCCACTGGGGTTAGCAGTGTAACTACAGGAGAGGCCATGTACAGAGGCCACGGAGCTCCTGTCATCTTGGAATGGTCAGTGATGTCTGAAAACAGTTATCAAATTTCCTTCTGGAAAGCTCGATGGAAAGAAGTGTAGGCTAGGATAGCTTGAAATAATATTCAGTTGAGAAACCCAAAGAATGTGAAAAATGTGAAGTAATCTATCTTCATCTTTGATAAGTTAAATGAGACATTTTAAAATTAATTTTCCAATCGTGCCACTTCTCTAACCATTAATTTTCCCACACACACTCAGAGCAAAATGGAACTCGATTGAAATGAATAGAGAATTTCTATCTCCACCCTACCCAGATTTTGAAAAGCACTCGTCCTGAGGGACTACTAGCCTTCTTCATGGCAAATGGCATGATGCTATGAGGCACATTCTACTCCAGTTTCTGCAGGACCCTTGGCTACACAACCAAGGCTCGTCCTGAGGCAGCACCACCAGTTAAAGCCGAGCGTGCTGCCAAGAACGTGAGGAAGCACTTACCTTTAGCAGATGTCTGGTGCATACGGATCTTCTTGGAGGCCACAAACTGCAGGACTTTCTCCACATTATTTTTCATCTCCTGTTGGTTGCTCGGACTCAGCTGTACTCCACTCAGCTTTTCTCCTGCTGTTCAGAGAGAACAAATATAGTCTATAAGTAGGAATATCATGGAAGTTTCGTAGGGGCCAGACAGGGAGGAAGAGGACCTTGATGTGAACATTAAAAATATATATAAGAATGTAAGTGAGTTAAGTAAGCCTTGGTGTGTGATCTGAATGGAGAATATAAAAATGAGAGTTTCACTTGACATCATCAAATTTTTCAAATATAGACCCAAGTGTCTATGAAATTACCCTGTGTACATTATTCAACAAATATTCATTGATGGTGGCCTAGTGGCAAGAAGCTGCAACTGCAATCTCAGAGATACATAGTTCGAATCCACCAGATGCTCTGCTGGAGAAGGCGGAACAATCTCATCCTGTACCTGTCAGATCTGATTTGACAGTACACACAAAAAATAATGAAATAAAGTAAACTTAAAAAAAACACACAAAAAAACCACAAATATTCATTGAACATCCACTGTGAGCCAGACACTGAAAGGTAGTAGTGATCAAGACAGATACAGCCTCTTCCTGTCTGTTTTACATCCTAAAACAGGGGTGCCAGACAACTGACCAAGGTAACAAGTTGTTTTTTGTGCCATCAAGTTGCTTGTAAGTTTTAGCGACACTGTGTACAACAGCTCTGAACCTGCCCTGCCTTGAGACAACCTCATTGCCTCTGACACTTCTACCCCCAGTACCCCAGTCATTGAGTTAGTCCATCTCATCCAGTGTCTTCCTCCCTTGCACTGTTCCTACACCCTTCTAAGCATGATGTGCCTCTCCAAGGACTGGTCCCTACTTGCAACATGCTCCTCAAAGTATGTCAGAAGGAGCTACAAAATCTTTGCCTCCAAGGAGCACCCTGGTTTCACCCTATCCAGGATGAACCTGTTTATTCTCCTAGCAGTCCATGGTTTATTCAATACTCTTTACCACCACCACAACTCAAAGGCATCAATTCTTCTTCGGTCATACTTAGTCACTGTCGAGCTTTCTGATGCGTAACAAATGCAAAGACCATGGCCTGGATCAGGTACACCTTAGTCTCTAAACTGACATCATTGCTCTTCAGTACTCTGGAGAGGTCCCTGACAGCGGATTTTCCCAATGCAATTCTTCTGAAGATTTCCTGACTGCTGTTATCAAGAATGTTGATTATGAAGCCAAGCAATTTGAAGCTGTTAACAATCTCAATCTCTTGATTATCATGATGTTGCCAGTTGACCCAGTGGTGAGAATCTTGATTTTCTTGATGTTGAGCTTCAGTTCACATTGAAGGCTGCAGTCCTTCACCTTTTGCAGCAAATGCCTCAGGTCCCCCTCAGTTTTGACAAGCAAGGTTGTATCGTTTGCATAACACAGGTTGTCAAGGAGTCTTCCTAGAATCCTGATGCCACATTCCTCCTCATGAAGTCCAGCCTCCTGAACAATCTGTTCTGCATATAGATTGAAAAGGTATGGAGATAGGATACTTCACCGGCATACACTTTTTCTGATTTTAACCATGTAATGTTTCCTCACTCTGTTCCTGGTCCAAGCATAGGTTTTGCACAAGCACAATCTAGTGTTCTGAGATTCCCAATACCCTCAGAGTTAGCCACAGCTTATTGTGATCCACATAATCAAAAGCCTTTGCACAGTCAATGAAAGCTAGATAGACACTCCTCTGGTACTCTCCTCAGAACTGAGATAGAAACCCTAATCATGACAAGAATTGTGAAGGAAAAGAAAGCAGAGTGATCATGGTTTCTCTGATCATATATTTGGACAGACTTAAAGGGATGTTAAGATTGGAGGAACAAGCATTCCAGCTGAGGAACTGTGGGTCTAAAATGTCAGGGTGGTGATGAGCTTGGCTTCTCTGAAGAAAAGCAACAAGACCTGTGTGGCTGAAGTGTAGTAAGGAGGCTAGCAAGCCAAGTCCTGTAGAGCTTTTAAGAACATGTCAAGAGCCTGGATTTTACTCTGAGAGTAATGAGAAGTCAATGGAGAGTTTTAAGCAAGGGAGTGACATGATCTGATGTGTCTTAGGAGTTGACTGTCTGCAGACATAGACTTGGAGAAGATATGAAGACACAGTCATGGAGAAGGCACAAAGAGATAAGGGAGAAGGACAACGAAAACAGTGAAAGCAAAGAGACTGATGGTTTAGGCTGAAGTGGAGGAAGGTAACTCTAGGAAGTCAGTATATTTTTAATATAAAGTCAAGGAGCAGCACATATGAATGACTGGATATAGCATATGAAGAAAACAGAATAGTTTTAAGTGGGCATGGGCTGCTTCCTGAAATAAAAGGATCTGGAATCTGCAAGGTGTAAATTTAAAAGCACATGGTTTTTTAAAGGTCATAGTCACAGAATAGCCTTAACTCCAAGTTAATAAATTCAGAATCCATTTGAGTTCTCTGTTACTCAACAGTGTGGCCAGTTGAAAGCAGATTAATAGGCATGCAGAAAAGTGCTCACACTAAGAACCAGGGAACATAACCTGGCATGACCTTCAAGGTTTACAAGAATGGCCAATCAGACTCACATTATCGACTTAAGTTAATTGTTAGGGTGCTGCATTGTCTTGTAACGACCTTGTGACTATGACTCAGGGTAGGTCAGTGCAAAATAGGAAGATCCTCCACAGGAAAGAATAATACATACAGTGGCTACAACAATGGGCGCAAGCCAACCAGCAATTAGGAGGACTGTGCAGGGCTGGGCAGGGCTTTGTTCTGTGGGACAGAGTCACTACGAGGAGAAGCTGATTGACGGCCTCTAACAGCAGCATCAAATCCTGGGAGCCAAGATGATGCTTGAAAGGGGAGGGAGTGGTCAACTCTGTCAATTTCTGTTACGTTAGATAAAATGAGGACTGAGGCCTGGCCAGGGGGTCTGACAAGATGAAGGCTGTGATCCTGATGAGAGCTGTTTCAGTGCAGTTTCTCACTGTCGTTGCTATTGGATCAGAACTGACTCACAGCTGAGCCTCCACTGGGAATGTCAGCACAGCAGATTGTGTTCAAATGAGACCTGTATCTGTCTCCAAGGCTGATGGGAGGATAGCTACCCAGTTTTCTCCCTCAGAGCACTGGTTGATTCAAAGTGCCAGAGAGGAATGGCTTTTGGATTAGTAGGGCAAATCCCTAAGATTACGCCTGCAGAGCTCCCTTTCAGTGTAGTGTGATCAAAAGCCTGATAAGAGTGGGTCAATGAAAGAACTGGAAACAAGGACATGACTTCTATAAGTACAGATACATGTATTAGGGAGTTTTCCTACACAGCACAGTCATAACAGACTGCTGAGTTTGAGAACTTGGGTGCCGGGAGTGTAAGAACACATAATCGTAATTCTTATATATTCAGTGACTATTTCTGAAGAGACAGACACGAAACTGCTAAGAGAATGGGTAGCCAGGGTAACAGGTGGGAAAACAGTTAGTGAAGAAAAGATTTTTAACTTTTCAGTTTTCCACATTTTCTAGATTATCTACTAGTCTAAGTATAACTTGTCCAAATAAATTAAAAATTATTAAAATGAGCTTCGGAAATACAGCATGTCCAGGTTTGTGCCTCTGCCTTACCACCTGTAGTTATGTGATCTTAGAAAGTTGCTTAGTCCCTCCAAACATCACAGAAGTCATGAATGAGTAAAAACTCCATCAAAGAACCAGTCAATCAAACTAGCCTGTTCAGCATGATGCTTGACATGTACTCAGTGCTCAGTGAATAATTGAGTTTTTACAAATTCTCTCTCTCAAGCTTTAGCTGTCAAAAAATGGGGATAATATTACTATCTCCTGAAGGTACTAGGATTAAATGAGATATAGAGTGTCACCACTCAGGAGATGCTGTTACAAATATCACTATAAATTAATACTCAGATTCATGAGTGTCCCAGTAAGGGATTAACAGATAAGTTGCCTGTTGCAAACCTGGTTTCTCCCACACCTCTCAAACCTCAGCTCTCTCAAGGACTCCAAACCACTCAGTAGATTAATATATGTTCAAGACTAGATACTTGGTTAGAAGTTGTGAAAACGTGTGTGTGTGTGTGTGTGTGTGTGTGTGTGTGTGTAAGTGTCCTATTTTGAAAGAGCTCAGTCTATACAGGAGATGGATGAATAAACAAATCCTTGCCATTCAGTGAGACAGATGGTAATAGGCAACTGAACAAATGACATGAAAATAAAGGTATGGTGCCATCTAATAAAAGAGATCCACAGTGCAGGACTTCAAAAGAAAAGTTTTCTCATGAAGCACCATGGCGGTGGGTACGGTGTTCTGGTTATGAGCTCTCAGGTTGATTCTAATGCATAGAGATCCATTGTAAGGGAGTAAAACTGGCACAAATGGTTTCCTGGATTGTCATTTTCACGTGAACAGATGGCCAGGTCTTTTCTCCTGTGGAGGCACTGCTGGGTTCAAACCACAGACTTTTCAGATTGTGGCTAGGTGATTAACCACTGCACCACCACAGCTCTTTCTATAGATCCTGGGGAAAACCATCATGCTGTTGCATCTGAACTCATAGCTGACTCATAGCTGAATTTCCACTGGGTTTCTGAGGCCAAAAAGCACACAGGAAATGGCCCAACTCTCTCCCTAAGAGCTGCTGGTGGATTCAAACCACTGAGAGCAGCTGCTTTTGGGTTAGCAGCACAGCTCTCTGCAGACTGCTGCTGGAGTTCCCTTTCCTGAGTATCCTAGGAGGATCCTTTTGCTGATGATAGACTCTCTTCTTGCCTGACTACCACTCCCCTTTCTGGCCTTGTTTTAAACATCAGTTCTTCTTGCCCACTGGCCCTGAACTTACTAAGCCTGGGGTGGTGTCCCAGCTTAGACCCTCTCTGTTCTCACCCCATCAGACTGATCAGAATCAGCACACAAATGAGACTGGCTTCCCTTCCAGTCTTTCCAGCTAGACTAGGAGCTCTTGAGAACATTGACTGTTCTCATCAGCTTGTCCCCACAGCACAATAGTACTTGGAACACAATATTTACTGACTTAAAAAGAAATGAATTAGCCTTGGACAAGCGTGTTACCTTTCCCCCTACTCTCATTTCCATACATCGCAAGGAAGAAACAACCTGCTCTGAGGGCATATGGAGCATAAAAAAGGTCACATTCAGGTCTCTTTGAGCCCCGGGCCAACTGACCAACGATCTCGATGAGATATGCCAGGATCACCCCATCCCGGAGATCTTGCCGAAGGTCCTGCACAGGCTTCACCGCTGGCCTCTTCTTCAGCTGTGCGTTCACCCAGGCAACGTATGCCTGCAGCTGTTGCTGGAAAACATCAGGTGAAAATAAGAGAAAGGGTCTGGATAGTCTTCTCCCCTAATCAGCCCCCAACACTTGAGACTGGGCAAGGATGGGCACAAAGAGAGAAGGCAATTTTATGGAAAGATGTTTGCATGGGCAGGCATTAAGCATATTCCAAAATTCTCCAGTTTTAGGTTTATCTCTAGGGAACAGCTAGCCTCTGACTTGTCACTGCAGACACGGACGAGCAGATCATTTTAATGGCATCTTAACCCCTGCTTTCCTGGTACTGTGCCTTGTTTTCTGCAGATGAGTACTGGGCCCAGAACCACGGGCAGCATTGAGTGTGATAACAATGGTTGGTGACCCAACCTGCTCCTGTGCAGTGTCATTCATAAAAATTCATCTTTGGGAGCCAGGAATGAACAATAAACTGAGCTCAGAGCTGCCTATCCCATAGCTGCTTTGTTCTGAATGCTATTTAAGTGAAATCATCTCACAGCCAACCCAAGATTTATTCTCATGATCCTATAATCCTAGGATTGATACGGAGTTAGGTTTAATCTGTGCTTTATGTTGTCAAAGAGGATCTGAGTTACCTAAAACCTACACCAAGGGGGTGGGGGGAGGTGCTGTGAAGACTGAGAGGCACTTTGATTTATTTTCAGATAAATCTAGGGCACAGTATCAGAGAGATGTCAGGCCAAGTGGTGGTGGTTATTAAGCACCCTTGAGTCAGTCAAAATCAATGCTGTAAATCATATGAGAGGAGACTGTCCTTAGTTCTCCCTCAGAGCCACTGATGGATTTGAACCACGTGCCTTTCAGTTGGTAGTGCAACAACCCAACCACAGTTCCTTAGTAGTGTCAGGCCTCGGTAGGGGCATTTCTTAGATAACCTCACGTATTCCACTTACACAGAGCTCAAGTTCACACATTTATTCTGATTATTTGGTCAGAACACAGATACTAGTTTATTTCCAAGTCCTATGCACTTCCTCAGTTAACTGATGAAGCAATTACTAACTGCTTCCGGAGCCCATGTTCATCCTTTGCTATCATCTCTGGCAATTTGTGGAAGAGGTAAATTATTTGGAAGACACTACGAGACAGTATCTGCCAGCTACTGACAAACTGCAGGCAGCACAGGAAGCAGGAGGTGGAAGGAGAGAAGGGAGAGAACATTTCTCGAGTATCTACCACAAAACAAACACTGGTTCTGGTGTTTTACATAAGCTCTCATCAGTCAAGGGATGTGGCTGATACAGGGTCTGACACACAGATGATGCTTGCCAAATGGTCATTATTATTTTCTTCATAATCAAGTTCTGTTCTCACAGAAGACCTAAATGGTAGGTGTTATTTCTGTTTTATGGATGAGGCACAAAGAGGTTACATACTTCTCCAGTGTCCCCAGAGCTAGGGTATAGCAGATCTGGTCCTGAAACCCACTAAATGTCCAAATGTTTACCCTCAGCCCCTTGCTATCTGACTCATTCCAGTGTCTTCTGCATAACAGACCAGCCACAAGTCCTCAAGCTAAGACAGGCAATGCTCCAAGGTCTGTGCCCATGAAGGTCTGCGCCCACTGAAGAGCAGAAGAATTGCCTGAGGCAGGTCAGGCAAAGACCAATCTGGTCTGAGGGGCAAAGAATTAAGACCAGAAAGAGGCACTGAGGGAAGCAGCTGGGGTCTAATTTCTTGGCTTAGGCATAAAACTCCTAGCCAGTTTCTATCTAATATTAGCAATCAATCCAGCCTACACACATTGCTGCTTAAATTCTTTACTGGCTTCCCATTGTCCTCATGATAAAAGCCAATTTCAAACTCACTCTAGCCCTTGTCTACTCTCCAACTTCACCGGCCAATGCTTTATACAAAACCCCTACATCTCATGCTCAGCTCTTCCATTCATTTCCCTCACTCCTCTTACTACCTCTGCTCAAGTTTCAGCTCAAGCATCACCAGTTCCAGTTCTGAACCTTCTTCCATGCCTAAGACACACACACAGACACAGACACATACACCCCGCCCCCCCCCCAGTCTTTGAAGACTTCCTGTGCCCTAGAATCAGTCCAACAATAATTCGGAAAGTAATCTACAACCAGGAGAAGATAAAATAGATGAATGGGACATTCTAAGAATCAAATCCCTATGCACATCCAAAAACTCCAACAGGGTAAAAAGGGAAGCCGCTGACTGGGAAAAAAGTATTTGGGAATGACATGTCACATAAGGGACTTATATCTAGAATTTATAAAATACATGAGCACAACAACAAGATAAAGATAAACAATCCAATAGAAAAATGGGCACAGGATATGAACAGACACTTCACCAAAGAAGACATTCAGATAGCCAACAAGCACATGAAGAAATGTTCAATATCCCTAGCCCTGAGAGAGATGCAAATCAAGACAACTATGAGATATCATCTCACCCCAGTCAGAATAGCAAAATTTAACCGAACAGCAAGCAACAAATGCTGGTGAGGTTGTGGGGAAACTGGAACCCTTATTCACTGTTGGTGGGAGTGTAAAACAGTGCAATCACTGTGGAAGGCTGTATGGCGCTTTCTCAAAAAGTTGCAAATAGAGATAGTATTCGACCCAGCAATTCCCTACTGGGAATATACCCCAAAGAGACCATAACTGACATCCAAGCAGATATATGCACACCCATGTTTATTGCGGCTTTGTTCACAATAGCAAGGAGTTGGAAACAGCCCAGGTGCCCATCAACAAACAAATGGATAGAGAAGTTGTGGTATATTCACACAATGGAATACTATGCTGCATTGAAAAACAAGGAACTCATGCAATATTATTAAAAATGAGTGACCCTAGAGGACATTATGCTGAGTGAAATATCTCAGTCACAAAAGTACAAATACTGCATGGTGCCACTGTTGTAGAATGGGACTGATATCAGGGTTGGGGTAAGACTGAGAAAAACTGGATAAATTGTGTATACTGCATTGAAACAGATGAGGGAGAGAATAATTTAAAAGCTATACATGATAGGGTATTATAGTTATCACAAGAATTAAAGTTGCATAGTGGAGTGTATTTGGGGTGGTGGAAGGGGTGTGGGGTGATTGTATACCAAAGAAAGAATTTTTTCTTTTACTTTTCAAAGAAAGGAGCAAACTGGAGGGGTGGGGAGTGGGGGAGGACTGGGCAGGGAGAAAAGTGCAACAATGAATGAATGAATGAATGAATGGAAATCCAAAATCTCTGTAAATGTTCATTAAAATTATTAAAATAAAATTGAAAAAATTTGGAAAGTACTGAATGAGTTCCAGGGCTACCTTAAGCTCTGAGGCTACGTAAAGCCCCAGACCTTCAAGAAGTTTGCAGTAAAGTGAGGAAGAGGAAGAGACACTGGCAGTTGGTGGAAACACATCTGAAGATAGAACAAACAGCATAAGGTGCTAAGAGAGCATGAGCCCAGCCAAATGCTTCTGGGAAGTTTCCTGAGGGAGGAGAAGGGAGGGTGACTGTGAGCTCAAAGACACTAAACTATGAAATAACGTTTAATGCAAGGATCACAATAGCTCAGACTATTAGACTCAGGTAATTAGTTTGAATCAAAGAATCATTTGTCACATTTCATGTTAATGCTTACGAAAAATCAAAAGGTAATCATGTTAAGGCAGATAAGAACAAATTTTGTTGGTTTTGTGTTGTTGTTTTTTTTAATTCATCCAAGAAAATTTTTACTTAAGAAACCATATCCTGGAGTCCGGGGGTGGTGCAAACTGTTAATGTGTTCAGTGGCTCACTGAAAGGTTGGTGGTTGGAGTCCACTCAAGAGTACCTCAGAAAAAAAGCCTGGCAACCCACTTCCAAAATGTCAACTTTTGAAAACTTTAGAGGGCAGAGTTCTACTCTCACAAACATGAGGTCAGCATGAGTTGGGATTGAGCCCACAATAACTAGTTTGGGGGTAGTGGTGGCTCAGTGGTAGAATTCTCACCTCCACGAAGGAGAGCAAGTTCAATTTCTGATCAATACACTCCGTGCACAGCCATCAGGCTGTCTGTAAGTGGAGGCTTGGTGTTATTGCTACAATGCTGAAGAGGCTTCAGCAGAGCTTCCAGATAAGGCATTCGAGGAACAAATTAGGTCTATTTGTAAAAATTTAACAAAAATTCTATATATCATGACAGACTAAATCCATAGTGCACAGGGTTGACATGAATCAGGGGCTGGACCTAGGGCCTAACGATAGCAACCATGGCCTCTTCTTACCTGGCACACAACTAAGAGGTCTCTTACAGTATTTTTTATGCATTGTTGTTGTTGTGTACTGTTGAGTCTGAACTGACTCATAGTTGACCCTCTAGCAGGTTTTCAGAGGCAGTTAATCCCATGGAAGGAGAGGGCCTATCCTTCTCCCACAAAGCAGCTGGTAGCCTTGAACCGCATGCCTTTGGGATTGCTTCTTTGCTACTAGGACACGAGATCATTGCAACTCTGATCTTCCAACAAAAGAGAATTCTAAGAGGATAGACTATAATAATGCTGTTGATGTTATTAGATGCTGCAGAATTGGGTACAATTCACAGTAACCCTACATTTTGCAGCAAACTCTGCCCAATCCTATGCCATCCTCACAATTTCTGTTATGCTTAAAGCCATTGTTGTAGTCACTGTGTCAGTCTATCGCACCAAGGATACTTTTATGAACACTTACTCTATTGTCCAGAGCTAAGCTAAGCCCTTAAAACGTATTTTCTCTTATGTTTATCTGCCATGGAGATTGCACTGTATTTATTTTACCGATTGAAAACAGAAACTCAAAAAGCTAAAATCACTTGTTCAAGGTCATCCAGATAGTAAACTATGAATATGGGATTCTGATTTATCTAACTCTCAGATCAATACACTGTTCTCGTCACCACTATTGCTCAGATACAGCTCTGAGGCTTAAATGGTCTGTGTCACTGAAACTATCAGGATCAAAAGGGATCTTACTAAACCCATTCCGTCCACCATGTCCAATGCTTGAGTCCTCTATAT